TCTTTGATATCTGAGCACCTATGAAGCGTTCCGCGCCAGCAACTGATGTTGAGTTCTTGCATCCGTAAGTATTGCCATAAGCATGGTCGTCAATACTGCTCGCTAGCGAAGCACTGTGGACTTGATTGCAATTGTTGATTTGATGCATCAAGGCAGGCCCTTGGCCGACACATGGGACAGCACAGAGCTCACCGCCAAGAACCCCAGGTTACACATTACGCGGCATTATTTCATGCCGAAGCTAAGGCCCTGCCAAAAATGCGCCCCAGATTGCGAATGTGCAATTCTGCTGCATCTCCTTGGCGAGAGTGCATAAAAGACCTAGATCTAATCTAACATAGAGCACCCAAATAGCGATCAAAAACTCCAGAACTGAGAATATATACGCGCCGCTGACAAACCGCACCGCGGGTTGATGTTATCGCAATTTACTTGGCACAACCGTCGCTCAACGGCCGCAGTTCCTGGACAATGTGAGGAGTCGAGAACATGGCCACCATATTTCGCGAAGCAACGCTGAGTCAGTCTTTGAAGGACACGTTCTACAAGAAGAACGACGGAAAGGTGCAAAAAATATTCCTCATCATTTCTCAGTGATCGCCCTGGGAGCGGTCGCAAATATGAGGCGCGACATAGATGCCTGCACTATTTCCATTTCCATTGAAACTGCATTCCCTGAGCGCCTAGCCAAAACACTGCAGCGAGAAAGCCCTTTTGGCAGCCTTTTGTAGAGTCCCTCTTTTCACAATGCTTCCACCTGAAAATTCGATTCCGTTAGAGATTCTAGAGCAGAGGCTAGCAACACGGAGCTGGATATCCAAATATGAATCGATGCACCTCAATTTCAAATCATTGCAGAGGTAATTTACAGGGATGAACGCTGGGAGGCATTTCGATGTTAGCGGCAATGTCTACGTGCAGCTGGCACAAGGCTTCGAGGAGTTTGTCCCCCTACCCCATCACCCCCGTGCGCGCACGCCCTGCTTGCAATGAAGGCATGTGATTGAGCGTGCAAGATATCTTTTTATAGCACATTTTTTAAAGAAGAATTCGCACCAACGGAGGTCGTTGAGAGGCAGATATCTGTGAGCACCATCCCTTTCGCGGTAAGCCGAATGAATGGCGGTACCGTCCATTTGATGGGCGGCATCATTTTGCAGAATTGGAATTAGAACCTGGGTAAAATATGTGGTACGCATGTGCAGTTGATGGATGCTCGCGGGGAACTTTGAAGTTTAAGATGCCAAATTCTTGCACACTATCGATCGTTGCATTTGCAGACTGCCTCAGTACATTACAGACCACGAACCACGGTTTGATTGGTATCACACCGCTGCACCAGGCGGCCAAAGTGGGAAGATGCAGCAGGGCTCCGAAAATCAATTTCTCATTTAAATCAATGAATGTTTCAACTCGCATCAACGATTTTCATATTCTATTTGCCGTCCATTCAGTGCGAAATTCACTTTGATTTGGCACTGTTATAAGGTTTCTGTGAACCGCTACGGTCTGACCGCCGTGAAGAGCCCCATCAGTGGCAGCCTCCTTGTGTCTGCTGATGCCGACAAGGGGGTTCTTAAGGATCCATTGACAGGCACTCGACTGAAGCTAGATGGAGGTGATCCCCTGAAACCATGAATTGGTCTCTTGCCGCTTTTTTGGTGGAAGGACTTGCATTGCAGCAAGTGCACAATGCCCTGAATTTCCACCATGGCATCGAGGCACACTGTTTCTTCAACACAAAGTCACTTGGAAATACGATTGATAAGTGAAATGGCGTGATTTCGAAATAAAATCTCATAGAAATAGGCCAAAGTTACAAGCAGCGCTAAAGAAGTCCTCAATTTTGATCCTGAGATTGTGCATCAATCGAAAATAATCGTCTGTGTACGTTTTACTATTATCGCCTGTTATTATGAGTGCATGCATTCGCATACATACAACAATAGGCATATAGTCTATGAATTTTCGATTCCATCGAACATTGAGGTCTGTCAAGATTTTGCCCATGCTTAGCCCAAGAGTCTCTCTATTGGGTTCTTCACCGAATTATCTCCGGACTGGTGTGCACTGTTACCCTCCGCGGTTTTGTCTCATGCCGAACACATACCAAGGCTCACTATAATTACTATGTGCTGCGCTCTGAGCAATGCTAATTCTTCACGGGTTGAGGCATTCATGCACTAAGGGAACGCGAAGCATCAGATTCTTGCGCATTTGATCATCTTGTTCCATGAACCCTTCTGTGTCGCTCGTTTTAATTTGAGAATCATTTTAAAATGGTCAGCGACGCAAAGCCGAAAATGTGGCTCCACCGCAAGATACGGACCGCATCAAACAGCTTCTCGTGTCTTGAGGCTCAGGAGCAGAAAGCTCGCTTAATCATATGTTGCCGATGAGGACACCAGAAGCATGAAAAATTGGCTGAAGAAGCAACGACAGGCACCTATTTATTAATGCCTCGGGCGAGTTTCCTGGGGCCCCCTCGCTGTGACGGCAGCATCGCTGTGTCCGCAGTCCGAGCCGTCCCAACAACCCTCCCTATGAAACAGCACTTCATCCGGTCCAGAAGGTTCTACGTAACGGAGGACGTGGACAGGAGTATCCAGGAACTGCGAAGGACGGTGCACATGAACAGGAAGACGAACGAAAAGTAAGGCATTTAATGGATACTGCCTTGCTCCAGTGTTGCAACTTGTACGTAACTGCGAAAATGCATGTCTTGCGTGCACCTGCGTGTGTTGGGTGCTCATGTTCAGAACACAACGCAGCGCACTCAACATGAGGCGCGCACTCAGACACCGCGGCATTGCGCTCTCTACAACTGTTAAGTGCGCAATGCAGCGTCATCCGAACCAGTGCATGTCGTGCAAGTTTACACGTTGTTTCGCTCCTGTTCTTGCCCGTGCATCCTGCAGGGTGTTTGATGGCGACGAGGTGCGGCTCGCGTCGAGCGCGGTTGCACTGTTCCAATCGGGTAACGACGCGATCATGTGCGTTCTGGATCCACGCATTCAGGATAGGAACAGCGGGGACACCCACAGGCATGGATCCATGCCTGAAGATGCAGCTTCTGAAGTGAGATGCCGACGCATGTTGTGGCGACACACGGCGCGCAGTCCGTCAGGCTTCAAGGGGGATGTCGTCAAATCGAAGTGGCTCCAAGCCAAGGCCCGGACCTTGCCCACAGCGGCGCACTGTGGCGATTCACAGAGAGCATTAGCCTCTGATTTCTGAGATGCAGCAACGAGCAGCGGAGGAGGGTGAGCAGCGGCTGCTGCGATGCGGCGGCCAGGGCGCCAGCCCCTTTCTGAGATTTGGTTTGTCTTCGATGAGGTGCCAAGTGTCGTGCTGGCCGTTGTCGCAGTCCTCCATGCAATGCAGACTTCCGCTCTCCCCGGCGATCACCAATGGTGAGGCGAGGCGCTGAACAAAGCCCCGGGGCTGGGCGCCTGGCCGCCCGATGTAGATCAGTTGGCTAGCGGCTGGCCTTGGTGGCTCGCTCGCTTGGAGAAATGATGGCCTGAGGACAAGCGTCTCAGTCAGCGCGCTCTGTGTTCAATGCAGCCTGCCCACCGTGTGGCATCATCAGGCACTGGCCAATATCGCTTCCCCCCAGAGGAAAACAACACAAAGGGAACGAAAAAAGCCGATATCGCTGCGAGAATTGGCCCCATCTAACAGTATTCCAGTAGCAGCAAGTGATCTGCATTGGACTCCACGTGGTTTGAGCGCTGATCCAATTTGTGTGGGTCTTCCGGTCGTGTCTCAATTGTTCGACATTCAACCAAACCATTAATTTTATGGAGTGAAGCCGATTACTACACATGGCGCCAAAAGTGGCGTTCAAAAGGGCTGATGGCCGTTGGCCTCAACCCTCGCGTCGATTCATGCCACATCACAAGCTGCACTTGGAAGGGGATGGCCAAGAACCAGATGATGGATTCTTATCTCCGATGAGTATATTGACAATCGCAGACCGCCACAGGGGTTAACCATATGCCACAAAGCGATGATCTTCGGATGACAACAAGGCAAGGTTCGAGCGTGCGTGGCAGCCACTAAACTATCTGTGGAAATCCGGAATACCAGATTCTTCGACGAAACTGGCAGCAAAAGGATCCTTTCCATATGCGCGTTGAGCTCTGCAGCCAGTTTTGGAATCATGTCAAGGGGCTTGGGACTCCTGGACGTTTCAGTTCAACTTGAGGGCAAACGTGCAAATTTCTTTGCACTGTGTGTGGGGGGGGGCCTTCAACTCTGCATGCCCCTTCCCGGGGGCCAAACATCCTCCCCCCCCCAAAAAGAAAATAGAAGAAAAAGAAAAAGGACTAAAAAAGCAATGTGAACTGGACTTTAAACTTGACAAAAAATCACCGCACCGCCACTCTTCAAGACTTCCCCTTTCCCCATCGATCAAATCACGGAGTGTATCCTGCTGGAGCACCTCCACGCTCATCGACAGCCCGATGCCAAGCATCGGAGGTTACAATGTTCTACGAGCAACCACCTCCCGCAAGAGGCCGCACAATGCCCCCACACGACAGCGCCAAAGAACGGCTTCAGATAATGTACACTGCAAACGTTAAACAATATGGGAGCGCCCAGCTTGGGCCACCGGCCCCCGCGGCCGCCCGCGGCCGCCCAGGCTCACAAAACGGAATTCTCCCAAACCAATTGTCAGGAGCGGCTCCACAGACGTGCCTTACCAAAAACGACCCCGCGGGGGGGAGGGGCCTAAAGGCATCGGCGCGAAGCCTAAAAAACCGGAGGTCAATCCGAAATAATGAACAAACAGACGCCGCCGTCGGCATCATCCGCATTCAACTTTCTGCTCGTGCGACCACATGGGCCCCACCGAGCCCCAAAAGGACCCTCCGGGCCCAGCCCTCTTGTGGCGCCGTGACGTCACGTGGGCCTGTCCCACCCCGCGCCCCCCCGGCGCGTGCTCAGGCAGGCTCCTCGCCGTCCCCGCTCCCGCCGGCACAGGAGGCCCCCTCTCACCCGCCCTGCGCCGCATCCCGCCCCTCCATCTCGCCACTTCCGCTTTGGCTCTGGCCATCCCCGCCGCCATCCCTGGATGACGCACCGTCCGGGCGCTGCCTTCCTGCCGCCTTCCCTTCGGGTCTCGACGGCGGCGAACCGCCCGACGCGCCAGTCCCGCTCTGCCGATCGCCCCGCCCCCGCCCCTCTGGCTGCATCTCGACCTCGCGGTCCCCTTCTTGGCTTTCAGGATCGTCCCGCGCGGCATCGCTGCTGGGCGACTTGCCGGCGCCCTCGCCGGCCTTCTGGGCCTCCGCCAGCACGCGCGCCGCCTCCTCCGCGTTGAGGAACCGGCCGCCGGCGCCGCGCACTCGCCGCGTCGCGTGGTTGTGCCGGGACTCGTGCAGGTAGGGCTGTGCGCGAGCCAGCCGCAGCACAGGCGTCAGGCCAAATCCACGGAATCACAAGCGCAGGCGGTCGCCGGGCGACTCGGCATGGCTCCGCTTGAACATCGGCCAGCCCGCCACGCCCAGCACCCCAAGATCGGTCTCCGAGCGGCCAGTGTGGGGACTTGCATATTCGCCGTGGCGAGAAACACACAGGGGATGCGTGTGCCCGACGCCGGCCGCGCGCCGCAGGGGACCGCGATTTTCGCGCCCCGTCGTAGCCGCCTCGCGCCGCCTTGGGCCCGCGCGATCGGAGCGGATCAGCGCGGCCCGTGCCCCACCTTGCGCGTCTTCAGCAGCTTCTGCCCCTGCTCCGCCTTGGCGCGCTGCTGCCGACGCCTCAGAATGCAGCGGTACTGCTTTGCGTTGACGTACACGAGCTCGTCGTCGCTGTTGGGCAGCGGCACCCTGGGCTGCGGCGCCGCGCCGTAGGCCGCCCCCTGCCGCGAGCAACGCACCAAACCGCCGGGTTACAGCTCCGGACGTCCATCAACCGGCAAAACCGAAGCAAACACGCCCGCGGGATCTCACCGCAGCCTGCTGTCCGCAGTACATCCTGTAAAGGGCGTCCAGTCGCTGGCCCGTCCCCTCTCCCTGCGAGAAGCGAGGCGCACAAAAGGCGGTCACGCCCCCGCTCGCGCCTCCGGCAGCCCGCGCAAGCACGTCGGCGACCGCCGATCGCGGCGGGCTCAGAGCCCGTTCTGCCGCCCTCACCTGCGCTAAGAGCTGCTTCTGTCCTTCGGATGCCGGCGGCAGCGGCAGCGGCGCCGGGGCCAGGCCCATGCCTGCACGTGCACCAGTGCCTTAAAAACGCCCGCGCCTCACTGCAATCCGCATCTCGTAACCATCCCCCCGTCGGTTGGACTCCAAGCCGGCGCAGTCGGCGAAACAATCCCCGTCGACGCGCGCCACGCGCGCCCACCTGCCCCGGGGAACATGCCCGGCCGGTAGCCCAACGAAGGGGCAGGGCAGATCGCCGGTGCCGCGCCCGCGACGCGCTCCCGATCGGACGCGGCCCCCAGCACGGATGCTGCCATGGCCGTGTCCCCGGCCCCGGGCGACGCCAGCATCGATCCTCTCCCCTCGCTCGCCTGCGCGGCGCCGCCGCCGGTGGGCTTGCCTTGCGCGGGATCCCCACCCGATCCCCGCGCATCCATGTCCTCAAAGCTGCCAATCCGCCGGTCTCCCCGCCTGGCACCCCCCGTGTGCTCACGCGGGCTCGGCAATGTCACCGGGCCAAACTGTGCGAGCCGAGTTGAGTCGAGCAAGTCTGTCAAGGATGCGGCGAAAAGGTAATGCGAGCCTGGGCGGGCGGCCCGGAGCTGCGAGGGGGCGGCCGGGAGGCTGGGCGCGGCGCGGGCGGCGCCCGGCGGGGAAGGGGCTGGCTGCTGGCGGGGTGCGGAGGGCCAATGGGGCAAGATCAGGGAAGGGAGATTTGGGCGGGGCGGAATTGGGGACAGTGTCGCGCCAATCGGGCAAAAAGGAGGGCCGCGGGGCCTCGCGGGGGCGTGCTTTGGCCAGGGGCGGGGCTACTTTGGGCGCAGGGGGGGAAGCTGCACGCGCCGGGATTTGGGGGCGCCCGTCCCGGGATACAAAAGGACCCGTGATGGCAGAATCGCGCCGGGCGCTGTGCGCGGGCGCTGAGCTCCGTACCGCCACAAAAAATGGTGTGTTGTTGTGAGTGGAACTGGTCGAGTATTGTTAACAACTGAATGCGTAAAGAGATGATGAGGCGCTAGGAATTGCATTAAGGCCGTTGATGGACACATGGGACAGAGCTCCTGTCGCCCCTCTGCCTCGGCTGTGAGCCGCTGCCGCGGACTCGAGCGTACGATCCCCGTTCAGGGATCGCCAACCCTCGATCCTGCCTGCCTTCGCAATGTTCGATAATATCTTCTTCCATCACCGATCCGGCAGCGCACTATTTCGGACACTGACCCCATCGAGCTGGGCTCGAACGCGCTGATGCAGCGCACGACGGGCACAACTGTCAGCGCGGCATGTAGCGAGGAAACCGGACCCGATCCCCGAGTGGGCCCAAAGCTGGTGTTCGTTTACGAGCACAGTCGTGTCCACGCTCACAGTCCCCATGCTCAGCGCCGCCGCCCTCCCCAACTACCCACAGGCTTACTCGAGTGTAAAAGGCCCCTGTCGGTTCATATCCCCCGGGGACGGAATCACATACTCAGGTCATTTTGATGTACAAACTCAACGCCCCGCGGGGGCGCGCCCTGTCTACCAGGACCAGTGCGGTCCACCGTGCGTCATTGGTGCCCCGTTCGGCGCGTTGTCCCCAAGTGACGAAACCCTCAGTACATTAAGCTCCTAGCGTACCAATCAGCGCCCGCCTGACATCCCCAAATGGGAAACACGCCCATACGACAATCACACCAGTGCCGGCATCATCACACTCTAACAGAACAACACACCAGCCATAGTACCATGCTGCAGCGACCCTCGCAGCTGGTGTCCCCGGTGGGCAACGCCCACAGTAGCTAGGCACCGAAAGATGTAAGAAGCAGCTGCTTGTCGTCCTCACGGCTGTCCCAAGGCCGGCACACCTTATCGCTGCTCCAAAACGGCCACTTCTTCCCTTCATTGGCCATGGCAGCTGCTCAAAACGCGCATCCTCAAAGTGCACTGTTCATCTCGGCACACCCTTCAAAAATGGCGCAGCTCATGTTGCCACATGTTCGGAATAGCCCAACTCACCATGATACATCCTCAAAATGGCACGGTAGGTCATCAAAGTCACGTCTCATCGTCGGAAATGGAATGGCACATCTTCAAGGAGGTAGTACAGCACGTCAATCGTCATCAAAAGCTACAGCTTCACATCTGGGATTCTCGAAGGCACGAAGCAGCACCAAGGGGGAATGGCACGTCATCAGGGGCCACGGAGACATCATCGAGGCCTGGGCTATCTTCTGCTCAGAGCATTTCAAGCTTCAATCTATAAATCCCTGCAATCATGTCCATGCCATCCCAGCTCGACACTCCTTTGGGCCACACAGTCCTTAACAACGACTCCTGCGCATTATAGCAGTTCCGCAAGGCATAACTGAATCATACTGATGACCATTATAATGTGCAGGTACCCGTTCCCGTTGAGGGTACTTCAATTCGACATGTTGGGCGGAAATATCCTGGCGGCGGTCCGCGCCCCCAGCCCAAGGTGGCTAACTGTCTGTTAGCGGAAACCCCGCGAGTCGAATGGCTCCTTTTGGAGTGAGAGGACGCAAATTCATCATGCATCCATATGGCGCCATCCATTGCCGCTGACGGTGTAGTCAGGTCGTTCACTCTATTGCTTTCCCTCTGCCTGTCCATTTCTTTCCAATATGATCATGATGGCGAGAAAAATAACACATGATTAAAGAAGAGGGTGCTAAATGTGGTGTGGCTGGACATGGTGCATATGGTGCAAAATACGGTGAACTGAGTATGGGAATACGGTGATTGCTTGCTGAGAACTCTCGCAGTGAGTGTTGTTTGATTGGCGTGCTTGTCCTGTGAGGCATCTGGTTACTGCTTGGCTTCCAGTGTCCGGGAGCGACCGTGCCTGTGAGGGTCTCAATTCCGGTCGTCCTGATTGTCGTTGTTCGCTTCCTATGTTCCAAGATACGTACCAGTACACGTATTTTCTCTCCCTCCCCCCGCTTCGTAGTGTATTGTGACCCGTACATACCGGCATCGTGCGTAACGTGACCAGACTTTCGAGTTTTGGAATGGAAGTCGATTCGTAAGCAGTTACTGTTTCAAAACTCTTCCACGCAAAAGAAACTCTGCCAACTTGCATGTCCTGACTGAATCCCAAAATTATTAACTAGTTTTATGCACAGTTAATTGGTCTCTTTAACTTACGGAAATATTTTGGGTGCGCCCAACCAAGCACGCGTCTGGGAAGCGACAGGCATTCCAGGTAGTTCCGGCAGCCAGATCCAGCGGCGTTTCTTCTTTCAGTTTAGATGTAATGGCCGCGGGTTGCGTTTCGAATGTAGGCCAAGGGATATGTGGGTTCTGGGGCCAAGAATTTTTGCAGAGATTTCAAAGAAAGCCAAAATCTGCATTGTGGTCACGATGCGACCATGGCGAGGGCATTGGCGGGCTTTCCTTGGTTGGCGGGCAGCTTTCCTACATAAGGACTGCCCAACGACTGCAGCTCATCTTGCTGCGCCCCCACTTGCCCATCACTAGAAGTGTGAGCTCGGAATTGAAGTGCGGGGTTTTGGCCCTTTGGCTTGTGTCACGAAGGCAAAAGCAAATCGAGTTGACAGCCATGGGCAATTGCAAAGAACAGCGGTGAGGATGTGATTTGATTCGCTTGTCCAATGTGTGCGTTGGGCGGGAGCGTATCCTGTCGAAGAGACAGGCAAATAATGCCCAAGTGATAGGCGTCCCCTATCTCAATGGCATGGCGAATGAATCGCCCACTCCTATCCGCAATCAGGGTGGACATTGATGCAGCATTGCGGCTGCATTACCACTGCTGCAGCGCCAAGCAATGCGGCTCATGCAAATGCCCATACATCAGTATTGACAAACTTTGATGTGTACGGGGCATTTCGTCAATGCTGATGCACAGGCCTTGTTGCAGCGTTCTTTGGTGTTGTATCCATGGCCATGCAACCACAATGTTGCACCAACGTCTGCCCTAATTCAGAATCACAAGGGGTGCTCGTGATTCGTACAATAGTGGAATTGCTCTCATCCTTAGGGAACGCAGTATGTCGATTTTGGTACACTTAGCGTCAACTTGACGCTAGGGGGGGGGGGGGATTGGGGAGCATGGTCCAGACCTGTGATGCAATAAGCTGTGGACATGCCAAGAACCGCCGCTGGTCATTGGCAAACAGCTTGTGACTTCCTCCAAAACCCTCTCCAAGGTTTTAATCAGTAAAGAACGGCCCACATTGCTTCAATTGACAGCCTCGTGGCTGTCCTCGCTGCTTGCTTAGAGTGCTGGAAACACGTTTTTCAGCCCGCTACAATCGGTGCAACTCCAGCTGCTGTCTTCCTCAAAATGATCCTTGAAAGTTTTGCCGCACTGTTAGGCAAAGTTGCTGAGCCATCCTGGCATGGACATAAGGATTGGTGCTAAGGGGGTGGGTTGGTGGAGTTGGCCTGTGGAGGGGGGGTTTGATCTTAGCGTCAAATTGGCGCTCAGCGTACCAATTCGACACAGTGTCTTCCCTTACCCAGGGTCACAAATCATGTTCGCCACGGGCTGCTCTGTGAAGGACAGCACCGACCCATTGCAGCAAAATATGCAGAAAGAGTCTTCCATGGTGCAGATTCTCGAAGATTGGCCCGCTTCAAAGGCAGTGACTTGCCACGCAATGCAGCCGCATCCCATCCAGCACAACTGGACGCGCCCCAATGCAAAGGCGTGGCTGCAAGGAAGCTCCCGTCTCCCAATCTCCCCCCGCCCTCCTTTGCAAGGCATTGCTTATGCCATATTGCAAAAGGGACAAGCAGATTCTGGGAGACACAGTGTGTCCACACATGAACCTCGTCCTCATCGAAAGTGGGACCGTCCCTTTATAGAACAGGCTTCCACATACAGGCTGTCATGGCATGCATCCAGCTACAGTCACCCTCGCTCTCGTGTCCCCTTTCCTTCACCATCTAGGCTGTAGAATACAGGATAGTTTCAGGCGCTGGCTTCTCTTCCCTCCTACAATATGCATGCAGTATCCACATTGTAGACAGCAGACCCTCCAATCCACTCACACGTAATGATACACACCCTGCTCCCAAAATCGTCCAATTAAATTAAGTTCATTTTCTTCACTTGTCACCAGGAAGGCAGAAGGCGGCTTCGGCCATCTCTGCAAAGACGGGTCAACACGGGAACACGGAATAAAGACAACAAAGATCCTGCCCAGGGTTGGCAACTCTGACTCTATCAGTCCTGCTATCCTCAGACCGGCCCTCCTCATTCAAGACTTTCATGCTCGGCAGCATACATGCCGCTTCAGATGGGCACCTGTGAACACAAATGCATTCGCTACCTCAGCAAATGTGGAGAATGGCAGACAGCAGTGCGCTCGAACAGCTTTCGGCTGCATGGCATTTAGTGCCAGGGTCTCAGCGACTGTGACGCAGTAGAGACAAGGAAGCACACAAGCACCTTGAGCAATGTCCATTTGCTCATCAGCATCCACACAGCATGGAAAACTTGACACCAATCGAACGGGCCCATCACGTGTGCACTTTGCAACAACTGGAGCAGCACCAGGACGCAAACGGCTTGTGAGCATGAGAAACTATTGGTCGCATTCCTTGTTGTTGGCTGCTGCGAGCCCAACATTTTCCATCATAGTCTTCCTTTACTCAGCAGGCTGTTGTGCCTAGGTTCGTAAGGTACCAGGACTGGTGTGCTCAGGCAACAGCAACAACGGCAAGGTGCCCTCCACAATCGTCGTTTGCACTTGTTGTGGATTTACAGATGTGCATAAAAGCCACGATGCCACAGCTTCAGCTCCAAACTGATAGGGAACTGCATCAAAAATGTGTCATGTCACTGTTTACAATGCTGGACTATCACAGCCCTGTCCAGAGCCTTATTACCCATTGTTGTCACAAGGCTCAAGGAACGTTGCATCCACCCCTGCAAAGGCGCAGAAACTGCAAATGGTGATGTTACACCATGTCGTGCAATTTGTACGAGAGATGGCAACACTTACGGCAAGCTGCTGCGCATATGGCTCAGAGTACGAGGCAGCCATGTGGAAGACCAGTGCGGGGAATCCCTGGCGGCTTGCACAGTTGTGATGATGCTCTCCATCCATGGCTGCAGATGCACGCCACCTGTTTAGCAGAGAATCACGCACCCCGCAGGCAGCCTGGGTTTGCACACTCATGCACAAGTACTGTGATGCGGCATAAAGCTCAATTGACAACAAATCTGGCAGAGTCATTATCATATTGCAGAGCACTGCGCTTGCAACCATTTGGTGATGTTGAGTGTTCCTCACATCCATGTCTATTCACTGCCAAGTGTTTGTTTCCCATACACCACTGAAATGGAGGCCATGTTCTCCTTGTTGTGTGTCCTTCTCCACTCAGCGCTGTCTGCATCATCGTTCACAGAATAAGAAAAACAACCAATACATTGCTCCAGGGAACTGCTGGAAACCATTCATCGGGACCCATGTTCCGGGGTACAGTGAACGTGCTCATCAACTGACAGTTGAAATGCAACTATGCTCCCCATGACGACACCATGAAAGCGATGTGCAGAGGTTCATCCTAAATAAGCAAACACTGAACAGAGATGGGGAGGCCCTGGCGGCGCTACAGCAAAAATGACTCCATGAAGACGGCATAGGAACATTGCTTGCAGAATTGGTGTTCAAATTGATGATTCCTGTCACTCGGCTAGAATCGTGCTGTTGGGAGATGCAGCAAACGATGGGTGAAGGATCAGCCACCATGATCAGCAGCAACAACAAACTGCTGGATTTCAGCCATGCCTCACTTAGGCAGACTCAGGGACATGCAGAGAATCGTTCCTTACTTCCTTCTATGGTCGGCGCGAATTGGATTGAGGTCCGACCAGGGAGGCCCCAAAGACTTCACATAACGAACACAGGATGATGCTTGCTCTGCAGTCAGCAGCAAAGGCAGCCAATTCACTCTTATCTGCACACCTTCATCTGCAGCACAGATTACTGCGCAGGGCGCATGGCCAAGCGTGGTATGCTGGGTTTGAAACGTGTCGCATCCGAACATTCATCACGAACCGAAACACCCCCATTATTTTTCCAAGACCGCCAAGTCCAAAAGGCCCGCTGCCAGTCCGCGCCTGCTCCCAAGGGGCCAAAGGGAGGCCAGAGCCCGTGCGCACCGTCGATGTAGAGCTGCGCCAGATCCTCACTGAGGTCCACCTGGCGCGACTTGAGGGCCGCGGCCACCTCCGCGGCCGTTAGGCGCCCGTCGTGGTCGGTGTCGAACTCGTCGAACAGGCGCATCAGCGGATCCGCGTAGGTCTGGGAGGGGATGTGGCGCCGGCGGGTCTGGAGCTGCGCCGCGAAACCGTATCACAGTCAGTGCAAGGAACGGCGGTGAGGGCGACAACGGCGGCCAGGGCACCAAGATCTTGCAGTAAAGTGATTCGGAGCTCAGGGGTGGAAGGTGCGCCCATGCCGCGCACCCCGGCAGTGGAAGAGAGAGGTTGTACCAGACTGGGTGGCACGCAACAGGGGCGCGTCGAACGTCCACAAGGTTCAGAATTCGCAGCCCCGTCGACGGAGGCAAAAGGCGCCCACTGTACAGTGGGGTCGGCAAATGCTCCTCTGTGGCGCACACGGCGACGGTCTTCACCGCAGGCGCAGGACTCAAGCGCCCTCCGCAGCGGCGGGCGGAAAGTGGGGTGCACACTTTCGCGGTCCGCGCGGCGGGCGCCCATGGGCCCATCATATACCGCGATTGGCGTTCCGCACAACCACTACCGGCACGCCTCACGATTGCAGCCCCGGTTCGCGCGCCTCACCCACTCCAAGCGGCCCGACGCAGCCCCGCACATCCCCACCGAACGCCAACCGCCACGCCCTCCCCCATGCCACCCACCCACCCCCCGACGTCCCTGAGCAAAACCCGCGGCCCAGCAACGCCACGACCGGGCAGACACACTACCATGCCACCACAAACGGCAACCCCACCCTCCCCATCGGCCTATACGCACAACCAGCGCTTCCCAATCCCATAAACCTACTAAACCTCCCAAATCATGGGCCCAGGCATGGTGAGGGCACTCACCGCCGCGGCGAACTCCCGCAGCCCGGGCACCTGGGCGAAGCTCGGCGGCTCGATCTTGCCGGACGCCTTCTCCGGCGGCGCGGCGCGGACTCTGGAGGACGACTGGGGCCGCACCGGGCGCGGCAGGGCCGGCCTGGCGCCGCCGCGGGGGGTCGCGACCTGCGCGAAGCTCATGGGGACGGCGGTCGGGGGCGGGCGACCGGGGAAAAGGCAAGGGCGCGGGGGCACGGGGCGCTGCCCGGGGCCTAAGGCTGGCCGCGAAAGCGGCTGACTGGACTGGGAGGCTGTTTGTGCCACATTATTCGCAAACCGCGGCAATGTGTCCGCCACAGGGGTGTGTTGCGGCAGCCTTGTCGGACAGGAGTGAGAAGTGCGCGGGCATCGGCTCCTTGTATGATGTTGTGTGCGATTTTGCGCTTGCACTAGGAGCGTCGACCCGTGTGCTGGCGAGTCCGCCCGCAACGTTCGCCGCGCACCGTCCACCATAGCAGCACTGCCGTCCGGGACTCCGGGCGGGCCCCACCGCCCCCAGCAAACCGCAGAACGGATCGGGTCCATGCATGCAAATCACCGCCCCCCTGGCACCGTTGCGTGCTTCCCCTCAACCTGTAGGCAGGGGACCGCGCTGCGCTGCGGGCCGCGCAGCGCATCCCGCAAGCCAGCCACAGTCGCGGCCGCCGTGGAGGCTGATTCAAAACGGGTGCTTTCAGAAACTTCCTTCGACATCGCGCTCGGCGCAAACACGCAATCGCCCTGCGTCGCGAAAACGCCATTCCGCGACCGCCGCGCTCGCGCGCAACGCACTTACATCGCAATCCACCGCTTCCGCACTCCACGTCGATGACAGAACGAGGTTCGCCCTGCCAGCCGAGAATGGACGCGGAGGAGAACGCGTGGTGCCCAGGAGCCCGTTTTTCCCACAGTAGAGGGCAGCCGCCTGTGTGGCGGGGCGCGGGCTGCGGCTCAAAGCGGCGTCAATTGACGCCAGAAGCGATGTAGAGGTAGGTTTTGATGTGGGCAGGCAAGCGCGGAAGCTCCACGTCGAGGAGGACAGGTGGCAGGTGAGCGCCCAGGTACCTCTGCTCTGGAAGCCCGCTGGCTCGAGAGCGCGCTCGTCAGTTGGGGCAAATTGCCGGTTGCCAGGAGCTCAAGTCAGCAATTCTTGTCGGGAGTGACGATGGCTTGTCGGTACAAATCCGGACAACGCCTTACCCATCCCCCGCACCACCCCAGTGCGAGAACAGAACGCATTTTCCACTGCCGTTTCAACGAAAGGCAGTCCTTTCAAAGCTGCTTCCGCCCACTGTCTCGGCAGCAAATTTTGGGCTAGTATATGAGCGTAGTACATCACAAGCGGGGGACTCAGCCGTGTCCCGCCCACCCTGGCACGGCCCAGGGCCAGGAGTCCCTGATTCCTGGCCCCCGTGCTGCGTCACATGTGGCATGAGTCCCTGACTCCTGCCCCCTGTGCTGAGTCACAGCTGGCCGTCCTCCGTGCCCTGGCACAAGAGCAGGGACAGGGGGCTCTGGGCGTCCGGGGTGGTAGCAGACACCCACAACGAACCCCTCAAGCGCCGTGCCCGAGGGGCACTCGGCCAAGATTCCTGGCTCAGAGCTTCGCCCTTCGAAAAGCAGTGTCGTTTGACAATGTTTCGCCAGTTTTGAGGGTATTTTGGCCTTCAAATTGGCAGCTTTGTATGTTTTCCAGTACTTTGGTGCCAATTTCTTGGGTTCCCACGGCCAGAGCAACTCAAAAGTTCCGAATTTCAAAAGTGTGCAGTAGCTACCATACTACACTCCAAAAACTCTCCCCAAAATGTTCCATGCCACTTCAAGGTCACTGTTCCCCAATCCTGTGGCTAAAACAATTCTGCAAACTTTAGGACCATTCTGAGGTCAGCAGAGCAAAGTGTTTGCTGATTACAGAATATTGACATAGATAGAGAATAATCTATAAATCTACTTGAAATTTTAAACATTGCTTCCTTCATAGTTCTGCACTCTTTCTACCGCACTTCCATGCAATAAGGTGGACATAGGAATCTGGCCTTGTGCCCCTCGGGCTGCGTGTCCACCTGTCAATCCGAGTGCGGTCTCATGCGTGTCCCTACGAGTGCGAGTAGGGAACCTCACATATTCCACATTTGCACTCCACGCTCCTTGTTACAATCCACTCTCTTTCAGCCCGTCAGCAGGAGCCCCAGGGCCAGCACGCTCGCCCCACACAAACCCGTTTCCGTGCCCCAGGCGACAGCCTCTAGAAAACTTGAAGCACATTTGGTAACTGTGGAAGCCACAGGTGGGCCCCCGGGCCCAGCGCGGCATCCTAGCCAAGCACGGCGCAACCAGCGGGGGCTGGGCCGCAGTTTCTGCCATTGCCCGGCATGGTAGCGGGGCATGGCTGTCCATTCTTGTCGATCCTCGTCCACTCCGATATGAGATGGAGTGGCTGAAGAACATCTTGTCTCGCCCTTGTTGATCATCATTTGCCAGTTTTTGAGGCTACTGTCACGATGTTTTCAGCACTGCATCAAACCGCTGACGGCTGACCTGCTTGTCGCAAACCGTCCGCCACGTCGAACGCCGTTGTGGACGGCCCCGTCAATTTGCACCTGCGGTTGAAGAAAGGCGGCAACGGCGCAGCTCCATTCTGGCATGCCTTGTGCTTTCATGAATGCGCAGTTCGGTCGTGCAGTGATCTCAACAGGAGAAATGCGCATCACGGTGAGAAGCCCAGCACCTCCTTTCCCTCAGTTGTCTGCTTTTCGCAGCGCACTTTGAAATTCGGGGTGTGGCGTTTCACGAAGCTGTGATGGATGCATGCGTTCATTCAGAGACTTCTGTGTAGCCTTACCGAGGCGGACAAGTGCCTGCCACGTTGCCCAGGCGTTGCTTCGCAGTTTTGTGGTGTTCCGGCACTGTTCGGTTCTGGGCTGGATGTTGTGAAGCGTATGGACCCATCCCTGTCCAGGAAATGCCCCAAGGTGTCGTACACCCGGGTGTGATATTGGTGCTTGATGTTGGCCAAACATTCGGCACAATAGATGACGGCGGAGTTTGATGTGCAGGGCGTGGATGAGTCGCCTCTGCTCGTGCATTTGCCTTCAGCTGCCAAAGAGCGTCAGGCCCCCCGTTCCGCTAGCCAACTTGGGATCTGCAAGGCAGGATCTGCACAAGCTCAGGAGAGCAACGGGGCAGAAGGGTAGTGAAATGTAAATTTCTGAATTTCAATTGGCGTATTTCATTGAATTTCAATTGGCGTATTTCGCTGTGGGAGGAGAGTACCAGGATGCGTTTGTCACCCATTGGTTGTGAGAGTGCTTGCTGTTGGCAGTTGAGCAACGTCTAGGAATGCTGCCTATAGAGTGGAAAAGTGAGATTGAAGGACCCATTTAGCAAAGACTTGCACACTGAAGCAGCGTTTGTCAACACATGGCAGCTGGTGGCACAACATCCAAAGGAACATGTGGACCAGGATAAATACCGCCAACTGGTGCCCACGACATCACTCTTGGCATCAGTTCTCCATGCTTGCATCGCAACTGCTGGAGTTTGTTCCGATGATGTACAATCAGGGCTGTGCTGCAAACATTCAGCACTTTCGTACAATGATCAGCAAGTATGATAACTGTATTGTCATCCTGTTTCTAGGGAGATCAGCGGCCAAGCAGCACTAGGAAAGCCACAGCCACCAGTCAAACAATGGGGGCTGTTTCTTCGTTGACAAAGTGCAATTCACTTAGCGGAAATCCAGCGAGAGCCATATCTTTACAGGCATTCACTCTCCACATGCTGCGCTGGCCTCTCTGTTCAAAGCATCGAGCCTGTCACTGGCCCCTGAGCCGACGGCTAGGGTTGCAGGCTGCTGTGCAGAATAACATGTGCACAAGACCTGTTCCTTGAAGAAGCATTCTTCTGGACGCCAAGAGACCCACCGCATTGCCTGAGGCAGCTTCGTTGCTCCAAAGGGCCAGAATATGTTGACCTGGACAACAAGCCAAACTCGAAGCAGATTGGAGATCCTCTTCTGTTCATCGGCCCCTAGCCTGTCCATCACTTTTTAGCTTCCTCCAAGACCACTGCATCCAGGTCGCGACAGTATGGTCCAGATGGCTTGCCAGCCAGTGTGGTCTCCCCAACAGACTCATACCCCACCCACTTGCCACTCTGCACTGCCCCAACGGGCTCTGCCTTGCTCCTGTACTGCGACCCCAGCTTGGGCTTTTCTCCCCGCTTCAGCATGTCCACGATCCGTATTGCATCTGCTGGTGTGAGGTCCTCATAGTAGTTGTAGGAGAAGCCTTCCACACCGTTGGAGTAGTCAGCAACAGCGATCATGGGCGCATTCACGCAGCAACCCATGCATTCCATCTCTCCCAAGGTGAAGAGCCCATCTTTTGTGGTGCTGCCCACGCCTATACCGAGGTGGTCACTAATGGCCTTGGATACCTCACGAGAGCCCTGGAGCATGCAGGGTGTCGTGCCGCACACCATCACGTGGTATCTGCCCACCTTTGAGAGACACAGTCTGTGTGATTAAGTGTGTAGATGCTGTAGAAAAGCACACAATTCGTTTTGAAGAAATTCTGGGACCAATGCGCAGCTGATGAGCGCTTCGCTTGTTGAGACACAAGCCCTGACATGCTTAACAATGTCTGTCTCACACTAAATTGTGAACATATTTGGGATCAGCTTTGGTCACTATGTGCGACATCACCTTGCAATGTCCAAAGTGTGGAAAAGCGCTGACAGTGCACCTGCAAGGCGATGGAGACGTTTGGCAGTAGGCAATGTATTTCCCCACCTTTGAACGGTTGAACATGGTATAGAAAGTGGCCACCTCATAGACTCTGATCTCAGGCATATCCAGCACTGCAGCCACACGGTTGAGGGCAGCCAGAGGAAGCCACCCTCCATACTGCTGCTGGGCCAGATCCAGGAGCGGGATCACAGCCGACTGCTTGTAGTTCGGTGGATACCGAGAGATGATTTCGTTTGCCTTGGATCACAGAAACTCACTGTCATCACCTCCAAGGTGCAAGGGCACTCTTTTGTAATTGAAGGAAATGTACTGCACAGAAACATTGGCGGACAACGCGAAGTGAAACACAGCAACGCTGTGTGGAGTGTGGGCATATTGACAGTTCAAACAGAGCATGTCCTCATGCTAATGTCCAAGCGTCCGATACATCCCAACTGATGACTGAAAGGCAGCGCCACACCACAGGGGCCTCGTACACCAGCAGGTGGCCCGGCTGTTGGGCGTGCCATCTGGAGGGAAAACTGGAGTTAGGAAACACTGGTTTGGACAGTGGGGAGAGTTGGGCAACATCGGTGCTTGAGCTCAGGGCGCATTTCCTTTGCTCACGCTTTTCGCCCTACAATTTTATAGTTCGCCGGCGTGAAGTCAAACTCGGTCTCTCGGTTGTTGTCCGGCGCGTCCCTGTGCTGCGATCCCACACGCACACACCAACAGTCAGCCCCACGGCGCCGCGATTCGAGCCCCATTCCCAGCGCAGCTTTCCCGGCTCCCTTCCCATCTCAGCACGCTCCGGGGCGTCCCCGCCCCCGCCCCGAGACTCACCGTATTGAAAACATCATGGCTGTTGGTGGAAGCTGCCAAGGCCGACGTCCCGAACGCCTGCAGGAAAGCACTGCGACTCAGTAACAATCCCCCCCCCCTCCGCCCGCTTTGCCACTCTGGCGATTCCCCTCTCCACTTCGCACACGCGCCTCGATCATCGGCGACGCCGCGGATCTTAGGGCCACGCGAGAGCGTGAAGGGCCGTCCCCGCACCCCGGCGATCGCGCCGGTACCTTGCCGCCCGATCCGAATGCCGAGGCCACGGGCCCCGCGCCTGCGATCGCCGAGCGCAGCCGCCTGAGGCCGGCGCCAGACAGCCTGCCGAGCATCTCTGGCCCTCTTCCAACGCCGGTGCGCGAGGGGAGGCCCAACCAGCGCCCGCTGCGCAACCGGGAGCCCTGGGGGCAACCAACTCGACAGTCCTGTTTTGTTTGGTGGCTCACGTTCCCAACGCCTATTTCGATGCCCCCGATTTCTCTGCGGGGGTGTACCTAGTACTTTAGGGACCACAGCGCGAGGGGAGGCAGGCGGGTCGAGCCGTTAAGTACTGGCCGGGCGGGAGTAATGGCGCGGCGAGCGCGAAATCCGCTGCCACGCCACACCGCGAGTTTGACCTTGGGACAAGGGCTTGCCCCCCAATTAGGCCGCAGATGGCGTCACACGTACCCACCAGGTTGCTGCTTCCCGGGAGCGGCACCGGCGCCGGCGCCGAGGGCAGGAAGCGCAAGAGAACGGGCGAGCTGCTGCTGGAGGACTGCCGCAGGCTGTGCGGCCTGGACGTCCAGTCGCCCTTCAGGGACGCCCGCGACGCGGTTGACCGTCTGCTGCCCTTCCACGTGAGTGCAGGGCGCATGCCGCGAAGGCCCGCGCGCTTGCCTGCATCCCAGGAATGCACACGCGGGGCTCTTTTTTCGCGTGTGTGGGGGGTGGGGGGGAAGGGCGGGCTGCCCGCCGGCGAGCGACCCCTCGGCGCTGCCGGTTGGAAGCAGGCGCCGGGAACTGGGAACATCGGGGGTGGGGCAGGAGTAGAAGAAGAAGAAGATTTCCTACATATGGTGCTGCGACAAAATTGTGCACGTCACCGTCCGTGCTGATCCGCAATACATGACCCGTCAGAATGTGGCCGCCCATGTGTCACCCCACTTCCCACCCACCCACCCAATCTCAAAAAGACAACTCAGTGGAACAGCACCACACTGGGGCGGGAGTGGGGGCCAAGGAGAAGCAGAATTCGTGCATTTGGTGTTGGGACAAAGATTTGCATGTGACCGCCATGGTGTATCCAAAGGGGACTGGGGGGGAGCATGGGGAAGTCGAGATGTGGTGGACAACCAGAAATCAGGTCTTGTACAGCCCCTCCTCGAAAAATGACATTGGGTGCCCTGTGCGTGGCAGCACTGTGAGAGCCGCTGACGACAAGAATGGAACCATATAAACAGGGGATCGATCGGGGTGTCCACCAACATCGAGCCCATAGTGTGGCCAGGCGTGCTGGGCCACTGCTGCAAGTCCTGTCAAATGTGTTGGCCTCCATGGGCGGTTGGTAGTTTCTTGGCTTGGTGTGTGGAGAAGCTGTTATTTGGTGTCCATCAGGTCACATGGCATTTCGGCATCGAAATTGCCATGTCTTTGTCCAGTTTCCTAGCAGGGTTCCAACTATATGTCCACAGGTTTGTATCTAAATCCCTGAACAGGGTCACTATGGTTCATGCACAGGAGCTGCCAACTGCAGTGTCACTGATCCAAGATGAGTGTACTGGCTCAGGGTCATTGTACTGTGGCCAGCAGCTCCCTGTTGCAGCCAAGCCCTCCCTGCCAGATTGGAAAAGTGGGATCAGTGGGTGCCCGCTGCACAGAGCAGTGGAACTGTTGCAGTTACCAGATCGGTGTGTTCCTTGCACTCCTAGGCAGAAACCACACGTTTGAACAGTCCCGTTGATGCACAAGGCTGCTACATTCACATCCAGTCGATTTGCAGCTTGACCAGTCGCCCATGGGGTGTTGGCATCTGCAGCATCGTGCAAGTACAATGCCTGCCATATGCAGGCAATGCGATCGAAAGGGGTTTACAAAGGGGTGTCAGGCAGCTCAATCGATTCGTTTGGTTGCACTGTGGCAGGTTCTGTCCTGTGAGGATGGCGGAGAGGCCGACCTGCGGGAGACGACAGATGGATCTGGAGCCAACCTGATGTGCAGCCGCAGGGAGTCTTGGGAGGACATTTGCCTTCAAAAGGCCATCGACTTCTCCACCAGAGCCAATAACCTCCGGCAGAAGATCGAGTCACTGGATGCTAGGCTGCAAAGGCACGCCCGGCCAAGGCCCGAAGAGGACCTGCTGCTGGAGATGTTCCTGTCACAGGACGTCAACAGGCGGTACCGTCAGGAACGCGCCAGCTCGGTGACCCTGGCTGCAGATACCGTGGGCGGGAAGCACAGTCTGCCATATGTCTCTGGTCCTCCTGTGGCTGGCGGCCTGTGCCAGCTCCCGCATAACCTCCAGGCTGTGGCCTCCTCAAGCCTGAGCGCTACCTGGCCAGCTGCCCAGTTGGGCCCTCTTCCATCTGGGTTGCATAGGCACCAGGGCCAGAGCCAGGGCAAGGGCCAAGGGCAGGGCCAGGCATTGGGCCAGCAGCTAACGGGCACGCCTGCTCAGGTGGGGGTTTGTTCCCCACCGAGGTCCTTGGGAGAGGAGCAGAAGCAATCAACAGGAGGTCAAGAGCAGGCTGAGACTAGGAATGCGTTGGGAAGGTCCACGGCCCCCTTACAGGGCGAAAACTGTGGTGTCTCAGCCGCTGCCACTGCCATCGATCCCGCAGTGGCAGCCCTCATGGCAGCAAGGGGGAATCCAGGAGTTGGGGTGGCAGGTGCTGTGAGACAGCTCAACGCACAGCAGAGTGGTGGGCAGGGAAGCACAATGGGAAATTTGGCCACGTGACATGTCAGACAGCTGGAAACGCCCCAGATGTGGATGCTTTGAAGAAGGTGTGATGCTGCTGCCCTGTTTTGATGGCTGTGCTTTGCAGCGTAGAAAGTAATTAGGTAGTACGTGTTGCCAGTGGATTGCTTGTGCAATATTGTCCTGGCGGTGTTGGTTGAACCGGCGAATTCCCAGTTCCCATATGGTGAGTGGGGTCGTGGCCACCATGTTGTCATGTGCTGTGCAGTTGTGCAGCCATGCGGGTCTTCAAACATGCTCATCGCAAAGTACGAGTTGAGTGTCGCACTTGGTGGCATTCATCTCGACAGTGATAGTTTGCTGACTCCTGCAAACAGATTTCTAGTGGTGGGAAGTCCTACACTGCTGCATTGAATGAATGTAATGGCTTTGACACCACCCTGGCCACAGGCGATGTTCAGCCATGTTTTCTGTTTGGCAACGTGACTTAGTTTGTATACAGCCACACCTTGTTGGCTGTGGAAGTCATAGGTAAGGAAAGTGAGGATGATGACGACCGCATGGACTGGGTACATTGCATCACACTTCCAGTTTGCACAAGAACGAATGCCTTCAGTCACCAAGCAGGTCTCTGGCCAATGAGCATCCAGAATATCTTCTGTGATAGTCGTATGCATCTGATCCCCCCACAAATGAGTATTCCACTGCATTCCTGGAGGGCCTTCCAAGCGGTGGCCGTCAGTTCACAAACAACACGCAGTGTATGCCATTGTCTCCTCTTTTTGCCGTTAGTAATTTGCAGTTTCTGTCCCCAACCCAGCTGGGCATGAGGAGGCTGACCCCCACGCCACGAGCCAGCGTTCCAGCCGGCCGAAGCGCAGCCGAAGTTGCCGTCGGCTGACGCAATCGGACCAAGACCAAAAGGCATTGCAGCGGCAAAGTGCCCGAGGCACACATGGCCAATGTGCATGCTTACTGCTGCGCTTCCGCAGCACAGTCGCCCGTTTCTGGAGCCCATTTCTGTCTCGCGACATCCCCATTCGGCCAGGGGGCCGTTTTCTGTTCGACAGGTTGCCACTGCCACGGTCCCCGCAGTAGTTTGGCGAGGCTGGCCCACCCCCCCAAACGGCCATCACGTAAGAAAGAGAGAGGGCCCCCTTTGGCCGTCGCATCAGTTGGCTCAGCGCATGGGGCACGTGCACATCCCGGGACCCGGTAACCCTGATCCGGAACCCGGTCTGCAATCCACCGGGGTTGACAGAAACTCAGTGCCATCCGGCGCCGCCCCCGACAGCAAGCGCCAGAGGCGTTACCTTGGGCCCCGGGCGGCTGGCCATCACGGGGGCCAATGACAAAAGGGCGGCCATTTTGGCGGACCCGCCAAAGCGCGCACGCCAGGTCGACGGCGCGGGGGAGAAGATATTGGCAGGCCGGCCGCGGTGGCCGCACCGCGAAAACGCCCCACGCCGTGTCCAGCCGGGCCCCACACCGAGTGAGGCGCTCGCGCACGCGGGGAGTGGGCGGTTGGAGGAGCTGGCAGCGCGGTGAGAGCCCAGCCACCAGCCCCGCTTTGTTCCTCCTCCCTCCAAACAAACACACGCACACTCTGGAGGGAGCCCGCGCCGCCTGCCGAGGAGATCCAAGCTGGCTTTTTGGCGGCCCTCGGGTCGCCGGGAGGGGGAGGGGATGCCGGGCGGCGGGTCGCCGTGGTGGGGAGCGGCGGAGGGGGGCGGCGGAGGGCGGGCGGAGGGCGCGCCGGCGCCGGGCCGGCCGGAGGCCACGGCGGGCGCCGGTGCCTCGCCGGCAAACGGAGGTGCGGGGCTGGCGGGTGGGATGTTGGGATGGTGTGTGTGGGTGTGTGTGTTGGGGGTTGGGGACGGAGGGATGCGGGGGATTTTTTGCGATGAAAAGTTTCCTCGGGATGCGGGCCGGCCGCGCGGGAGGTCCGGTCCCCCGGCGGCGTCTTTGTTGTGCGGTCCGATGATCGCCGTGGCGGGCGTCCGAGAATGCTGTGATCGGGTCGGGGGATGTCGCGCTTGCCCGATTCTCTGGTCGGGATTGTTGCTGCCCCGGATGCCGCTGCTCCGCCATGACGCCTCGCGCTCGTGGCTCCGGGGATGCGTCGCGCTTGGGCGTCGCGGCGCCGTCGAGCGCGTCCGTGACGGGATGTGGTGCCCGGCCCGCAGGTGGCTCGATCTCCCGTGCGCCAGATGGGGGCCCCACCCCCGAGACGGCCGAGATGCCCGATCACGCCGGTCCCCTTTCCGCCGGGGCTCCCGGCGGCGAGGGAGGGATCGACGGCGAGGGCGGTGGGGCCGGCGCGCCAGGGGACCGCTCAGCCGGCCACGCCCCTGAGCCGCCGGGATCTGCTGCCCATCGCGGGCAGCCCTCGACGCCGGGTTGCACGATACCTCCCCTGGAGATGACCTCTGAATTCATGGCAAAATGGGTCGTACAGAGTGGGATTAAGGCCGGGCCCGCTGAGCCTGGGACGGAGGTCACCCTGCCCCTGCACCGTCCCTTCCCTGGCGCTGGCGGCGTCTCAGAGGCGGCGGCCGGCGCGGGCGGCCGGACGTCGGCCAGCTCTCCCTCTACGAGCGAAGATGCATCGGCGCTGGTGCCGGCGTTTGCGTTGGACTCGCTGATTCCGGGGCCGTCATCAGAAAGCGCAGCGGATGGCCGGAGAGGCGGCAGCGCTCGACCGTGCGGGGATGATGCGGCGCCCGCCGCGGAGGAGGGCGCCCCGGCGGCGGGGGGCGCGTCGCCGGCCGAGGTGCGGTGCCCGGAGCTGGACATCGGCCGGTACCTGAGCGTGAACCCGATGCCCCACGGCCGGAAGCACAGGTTCTTCTTCCAGGCCATGGACGGTGAGCCGGCGCCCCCGCCCCGCCAGTGCCCCGCCCTTCAGATGCCCATTGAGCTGCCCACGGAGACGATCACCGCGCGCAGCGTGGCTGCCCTGTCCCCTGCCCACGACATGGCCCACCTGTCGCCCTCCGACATCGCCTGGAAGCTGTCGCTGGAGCAGCAGGCCGTGCGCACCCGCGTGCCCACCGGCATCCCCTCGTTCGCCGCCGCCGCCGACCTGGCCATCTCCTTCCCCTCTTCCATCCCCATCACCACCGCCCTCTGGCTGCGCCACGACGGCACCAGCAGGTCGTTCTTCCAGGGCCTCAGGGCCGGTGAGGACGGCGCCGATCAGGACGCCCGGGCCAGCGACGAGGAAAACAGGCCCGCCGGGCCCCCCGAACCCGCAAAGGGCCCCCAGTGCGATCAGATCGGGTCCGGCGCGTCCCACCCCGACGTGTCCCCCGCCTCCGGATCCTCCAGCGACGGCTCCCTCAGCGACACGCCCCGCACGCCCGCGGCCTCCACCGGTGGGAAGGACCCAGCGTTCGACTCATCTGCCGCCGCCTCCGATCACCACGCCGGCGGGCCCCTGGCCAACATTCCCCTCAACCGCCGATCCCCGACGGCCGGCAGGCTGCACTCCAGGCGCCCCCGCACGGGCGGGGTGAGTTCGTCCTACGTGCTGCAGGGCCTGGGGGACGTGTCGATCCTGAGGCCGGTGTCCGGCCGGCGCGCCGGCTCATCCGCGCGGCAGCCCCTGGCGATGCCCCCCCCGGGGACCGACGGCTACAGGGTCGTCAAGATGCGGGACGGCTTCCGTCTGGGGCCGGGGCACACCAAGATCCGCTACACCGGCGACTGCAAGGAGCGGGAGGTTGCCTGGGTGGCGGGCAGGGAGCGGGGGGGCAAGCGGGGCAGGGTGCCGGTGCCCAGGGGAGGGGCGGCGGAGGGGGGGGAGCTTCTGGCCAGCACGCCGCCCGCCAAAGTGCGGAGGATGGACCCGGAGTGCGTGTCAAATGGGATGCAGAGCCAGTCCGCGGATGGGCGCGGTCACGGGGGGAGGAGGGAGGGGCAGGGGGCCAGGGGGGCGCAGGAGGGGGCAGGCAGGAGGGGGGAGGTGGACCTGGGCCTGGGCGAGGCGTCCTCCATTCTGAGCGCGCCGCTGGACGGGTTTGAGGACCTGCTGAGCATGGAGGAGATCGGGTCAGAGCTGGTGGACAACGACCTGGGGCTGTTCTCTCCGTCCAGGGAGGGGGTGGACGGCGGGATCCTGTCCAGGAGGCCGTTGGACAATGCGAGGGTGGACTGCTGAGGGCGGGGACTGGTGGGGGCGGGGCAGGCTATGTGGCCTTTGGGTGGGCATTGTGTTCGATTGTTTTGACTGCAGGAAGGGCCTTGTTTGGGAGGGTGGAGCTGGGTGTGGCCTGGGCACGATGGAGCAGCCGGCCAGATGGGGGCTGGACACTGGCCACATAGTCAAGGGGATGACATGCTGCCTGGCGAGCTTGAGCAAAGGGGAGGAGAAGGGGGAGTTGTGTAAATGGGGCACCTGGCATTCTGGCTTCCTGACTGTCCCATTGGGACCCAAGTACAGAGCACCACGCTAGTGCGACTAGGATTTAGGTCACGCTGGCGAATTCTTGGCTCTTTGACGATGGATTGGTGCCATGTTCTTCGTATCTTGGTTGCTTGCAGGCTCAGGAGCAGCTTGTAGGTGACTGCAGACTGCGTGCAGTGCATTTGGGTTGGCCATTCGGGACAACAGCAGCGCAAGAGAGTTGACAAGTTATGGGTCAGGGAGTTAATTGTTTGGCAACAATGTGTCATCCATCACATCCCTGGGCAGCGATGCTGTGCGATCCCATCGCTCAAGTCCATATTGATAGGTGAGAGGAGGCTTTGGGAGGGGGTTGTGGAATGTACGGGTCGGAGTTGTTACCCAGAATTGGGCCAAGGCTGCTCCACTTCTCTGTGATCCGAGCCACCATTTGCTCAGCGCTGGTGCTCGATGCAGGAATGCGACAGAGGTTTGATTTGACCTGACGTCCCTCACACTCCTTCCACTCCATGTGGAGCATTCAGCGACGAGTCGTACTGCTCATACATATCAAATATGTCTTATTGTTGGCTGCATCAGATAGAACAGCGCACAGCAAGGACACGTTCAGTTCCTCAGCTTTCGTTGAACCGTGATAAGATCATGTGCGCAGGGAACACAAGGCGACTGAAGATGTGGTGGGCATCGCGAGATGCCGCATGAAATACGCTTGTGTGCAGCAGAGGTCGTTGCCCAACCACAGCAGACGACAGTTTTAGGCAATGCGACCCAGCCGAAGTTGACGGTACACCTAGCCACTCGTCGTCTGCTCTGGAGGGCGACAAGCCGGGCACAGCAGTGCATAGTCAGCGCTTTGTGCTCTTGATGCAAGCTGCGAGCTGACGAGTTGGGGTAGTAGTTTTGGAACAGGGTGTGCTCCTTCTGCTGATTGATCTGCGCGCCGCTTACGGAAGTTTCCGGACGCCGTGAACCTCGCTGGCGACCCGTTGCCCCTGAACCTCGGCCAGTTGGGAGTGTTGCATATGCAGGCAAGAAGACAACTGTCAGCGCCCTGCTTCGCAGGTGGAAAGTGGGACGACTGCAATGCAGGAGTTCCACGAAATCGCCGGCCACGTCGCTGCTAAACAACACTGATCAATCCTGTCAGCCCTCTGCATGCAAAGTAACCGGATTGAATAGCAGAGTGACGTGGGTTACAGCAAAGACAGCATTTAGGTCTGTAGGCTTTTCACAAGCCTATTTCGCACGGAATGGGCAGTGCACCAATCAGGCGACTTGGAGGCGTGCATTTGTGCAGTTCACAAAGTGCGCGCTGACGGTGAGGCCCTTGCGGCCGGGCCGCGCAGGTCACGTAACAACTCAGCTGCGGTCACGTCGCTCAAGCTCCAGCACTTTTGTCCGTCTCTTGGCTATGGACACAAAAAGGCCGTAATATATGTCGCTGGAAAAGCGGGAGGGAGAAATGACGCCCTGGTGCGCTGGGTGCTGCTGCAACCAGAACTGACTGAGTATGTTAGTAGCTGGGCGTATGCAGAGGTGATGAGACAACAGAAGCTGAATTAAGGATACTGATGAACGGACTGGATATATAAGGGAAGACACTGAAATTTGACGCCAGGGTTGTGGGTGGGAGTGGGGGGGTAAGATTTGTTACAAAAGAGAAAGAGAAACAGGTCATAAAAAGGGCACCCGCTCCGAGGCTAGTGTATGTGAGGTTCTGTTCCATGCTTTGAAAAGATGATGTAGGACTTCCGAAGCAAGACAAGCACGCAACACAAGCAAGGCATAGGCAAGAACATGCATGGGGGGGGCCCGTATGAAAGGTAGAGAATGTGCAGAAAGGGGTGGGGGGGTGGGTAAGAGCTTAACGCCAAACTGACGCTAAGCATACCCAAATCGATATAGCCTATTCCCTAAGGGACAGGATTCCTGTTGTCCCTTTGCTCCGCTGTGAACCGTTGCTCGCAGTGAACTCGAGCCCACAGTCCCCAGGCAGGGGCCGCCACTGGCATGAAATTAGTCGCTCTGTCTTTTCCATGAAGGTGCCTTCTTGTTTCCACACAGTAAACCCTAAACCACTGACCCACCGACCCACGCTGGCTTCTTCAGCGGAAGGAGGGATCTTGACGGCAAAGACAGATAGGGACTGATGTATTGTCGGCCGCCACCCCTCGACCCTGCCTGCCTTCGCCAGTGCCATTAATGCGGCAGTGCCGATTGGACGCCGTCGGTCAGCGGCGCAGTCAGCTCAGCCACTCCCCCCACTTCTCGGTCCCGCCCCTCATTGGCCGCGACTTTGCAGCCTCCCGTTGGCCACCCGCCCGACGTCCGCGTCATAGGCCACCTTTCTTGGCGCGACTCGGGGCCCGTCGCCTCCTCCAGCAGCGCACTCCAAGTCCCACGCCCTGGGGCGGAGCTGCGCGCATCCGCCCCTCGCCCGAGCCGCTCCAAAGCTGGCCGTCCTCTTGAAGCGACTCTTCCGACCCCGGCCGCCGGTCAGGGGGATCGGGGGGTGGGCGGGCGGGGCCTGGCCGTCGCCGCGTCCGCGGATCGGCCGCGTTGATTGGCGCGTGGCCGGGGATCGGTCGGCGGAAATCTGTCCAGAAGGCGGGGGAGGCGCGGGTGCTGTGCTGGCGCCGACGCCCATGGGGCTGCGGAGCGCAGGTGATTGGGGAGAGCGCTTCGTTTGTTCGCTTGTTCGTTCGTTCGTTTGTTTGTTTCTTTGTTTGTTTGTTTGTTTGTTTGATTATTGGTTTGTTTGGTCCGTGGGGCGCTCGCGCTGGCGGGGAAGCGACGGGGGGATGGGCGATCGCGGGCTCTACAGCCGCGGCGAGACGGCGCGGCGCTGCCGACGCGCGGGGCAGTTGTTGGCCGCGCGGAGCCAGCCGAGTGGGCGCGGGGGGGAGGGAAGGGCTGTGGGTGGGTTGATGGGGGTGGGGTTCCCTGCGACGCTTGCCCGGACCGTTGCTCGGCCTGTCCCATGGCGGAGACTGCTCTGCGCAGCTGGCGCGCGGCACTTTGGTGGTTTGCTCCAGTACACCGTTTGCTTGACCATTGGCGCGGCCGCGACACAGAGGTTTTCAGGCCGTTTGTGCACGCGTAATCAACACTGGACTACGGGATTTGCCCAGCTTCGTGTGTTTGTGCTCCGAGCAACATCCGAGACACCGATCCACATTTGGCGCATGATAGCCTTCCATTTTGTAAAGCAGTACCTGCGATACACAAAGGACCATTCGGGGGCGTCTTCCACCGGTGCCCAGCCAGCGCGATTTGGCTCTCAACACGCCTTGCACTGTTGCCCACCTGCTTTTGGTTGCCACGTACCAAGTAACACACACCAACTAAATTCTCGTTCCGGTGCGCGTGTATTGTCTCGGACGCATGGCCTGTGGAGGAAGCCGACTTGGGACAGTATCGCCTGGACCAGTGTCGAGTGTCGTATCTGCCAGCGTATCGATGCGCCGCGACTTTCAGTCCGCTGGAAGCTAGAGCGCAGCACAATATTTTTACTGAATGCTCTATGCATCTTCCAGGCTCCTTCCGGCCTGATGACGACAGAAACCATCCAAGCAGATCGATACAGAAGCTCCTGTCGAACAACCGGTGAGTTGGTGGGTGCCGGCGCCTGTAAAATAACGAATAAAATAACGAATCGTGAATTTTTATCCGTGCCTAGAGCGCGCTGTGCACCTGATTGACTATTTTCATTAAATCTCACACTTTTAAAGCGCCAAGCTTTAGAGCGGGATTAATCCACCGGTGAATAACGGCGTGACGCTGGTACTATACAACCCAGTTCATTGGGTCTCGCTGACAATGCCCTCGCTCAAAAGAGGTTTGTCCGATACATATCGTATCCAGGTATGAAGATCATGAACGGCGCGAAGTCCGTAAGAATGTAAGGCCCAAAAGCCACAACACTACATTCATGATGTTCATGTGCTTAAATGAAGGGTATCGTACATTTAGTGTACGATAAATGTGAGAGGGTCCCACAAACTTGTGGCTCGAACCAGCATGGAAATCAGCACAAGCTTCCCTCTCACCTATTCAGTGCAAATCAAGAACCAAGTTTGTGTTGCTATGGCGGGCAAAACAGGCACAATGGACGCACTAGAATGCTGTCCACCCATTCAATGGATGACGTCAATTTTTGCGCACCTGCAAATCTCACTTTCCATGCAAAGGGGCCAACATCAAGCTCTGACGGAGGACGGAACCCGCCCATTTTGCCATAGTTTATCTTCATGCAGCACTGGGAATTCTATTTACTTCCAGAAGTTCTACTTCTAGATGTTCATATTGGAATATATAGACATTCAGATAGAATGCCAAATCTATTCTACTTCTAGAGATTCTACTTTCAGATGTTAATACAAAGACGCGAGTAGCCAGGTATAAAGATTGTTGCCAGCGGCACGCGCCTCGTATCGAGTGGCGATTGCGTGCGATGAACTTGCCTTTCTTAAAATGGAGGTGCCGCACACGAGCTCACCAGACGGGCCCTCTGGCGCTTAGTGCCAGGTGCCCAGCACCAAAGGCCAGCCGCGATCGGGTCCACGACTAGCTGTGGAACATCGGCGAGTCGCGTCGCGTGGCACAGTGCGGAGTTACTTGGCTTATTGGATGACTGAAACGGCCTGTGCAAGACAGGCGATGGGCTGATCTGATGGCCAAGGAGGACCCTGATTTCTTTGCCAAATCCGCGGAGGGCCAAACCCCGGAGTATCTGTGGATAGGCTGCTCGGACTCCAGGGTGGTGGTACGGAGGGGGAGAGGGGGGGAGCGGACACAGAACCGATTAGTGACATTGGGGCATGGGCGCTTTGGTGCATCATGTATGCATTTCAGTAAATGTGGTATAGGCATTTCCATCTACATGTGCATATGCAAGCATACATGCCGCACATGCGAATTTGCAGCAAATCATGTGGTTCATTGCACAGTGCGTGTTGGCAACGATATCAAACCCAAGCAACATGTGTGCACAGTTCGCTGCAGCAATTTGAATGCGGAATTGTATCAGACTTTCTTCATTTTCGATTCCAATGTCTCGGGCGCACATTATCTAAGATGATATAAAGATATGAATTGCGGTGTATGAGACACATTACGTCTTGAATTTTGTCTTATTATGTTCTGCAGACGCGCAACATAATACTTAGGACATAAGCAAGATGTGAGATATGAAATTTGGATGCGGTACAGACAAACTTCATCACGGGCCTGGAGCCAGGCGACATCTTCACACACCGCAACGTCGGCAACATCGTCTCTCACAGCGACCTGAATTGCATGTCTGCCGTCGAATTCGCGGTCAGCAGCTTGAAGGTCAAGCACATCATCGTTTGCGGGCACTACGGTTGCGGTGCGTGCGCGGGTGCCCTGAACTTGCCCATGGCCGCGCCGGGCATGGTGAACTCGTGGATATCTCGCATCCGGGACGTGAAGCTGGAGTGGTCCGGCGAACTGGGCCAACTGCAAGGGGACGATAAGCTGTCCAGGTGGGGAGAGACTGCTGAAGCGAGTGCTGAGCAGATGGGCAGTCTCCGCAGCACTTCCGGGGTGCGACGAACGCGGTTGCTCTTGCGATGCCAGTGGCAGTTGATAGGTGGGCTACTGGCTGCTGGCAACCAAGTCGGATTGCCATAGTTTTGGTCGTTGCCAGATATCCTGGCTCGAGATTGTGTGCTTTGCAACAGCATGCTCGAAGTGCCGTGGTAGCGAGAAACGGATAAGTAAGCGCGTACATGTTAACCGACATTGCTCATACTGCAGCACCATATTATCACGTTCGGGACCAGATGGAAACAATCGAGCAGCGCTTGCAAGGTTTTCCTTGTTATGCGTGACTCGGATCACGATTACAAAAATCTGATTGGGATACCACAGGTCCACACGCTCTCTCCATCCACCCTGGTGCGGTGAGACAACAAAGAGTCCGCAAAACTACTGCGGCGTCCGTCGTACCGTTCTCCCGTTGGTTGCGCGCATGCCGATTGAGCATCAGTGTTGCAAAATGCTTTTCCGATTCAATTCCAATGCTTTTCCAAAAATATCAAATCTTTTTGGTGTGTGTACATTTCTGAACAAACACAGCAGAAACTCCCTCAAACTGCATCCCAGTTCTGCATGTGAAGGACACCACGCATTGCCTATTTCTGTGTATGAAACAATTGGATGTAAATGGAAGCTGGTGAAAATAGAAACAAGTGTACAACAATATAGATCTAAGCAACGTTCCTAGCTTGTCCTAGTTTGCATCAATCTATGTAACAGACAAAAGCCAAATCCAAGAACTGATATGTATGCATTTGCAGCAAAAAGCTGTTCGAATTCCATAGAGTAAATTTCATTGTGTTGGTGAAGCTCAATCAGATTTGTTTAACTTAACGCATTGCAATCAATACTCATTTGCCCTGATCATGATCAAAGCTACTTATGCACACGTCGATGGAATTTGCATTCAGAATGTGCAAGCGCAGCTAAATTCTGCCAAGCTGCACTGTTGCACTTGCCTGATCGCTTCTACAAAAAAAGGCAGCCTTCGATGTGTGCTCAAACGGCGTGCTTTTGCGCGCAGGCTCTGTGAGCTTAACGCGGTGAGCCAGACCCTCCACATGTGCGAGAGCGCCCCCGTGCAGGGCGCATGGGCCGCGGGCGAGGAGCTCCACGTCCACGGCATGATCTACGGGCTCAGCGACGGCGCCCTCGCCTGCCTCGTCGGACCCATTTCTTCGCCGCAGCAGGCCACGGAGGCGAGGCAGGCGTTCTCGACGAGCCGAGCGGATGCGGGTGCCTGAGGTTGGCCTGGGGCGTGCGGGGATCGATGCCCATGCCCCGAGTGGGCGGAGGCGTGGCGGATAGAAGCCGTCCTCAGCCTCCTCGTCGCAGCCACCAGCCCGTCGATGAATATTTTGCGGAACATTCATTTCTTTTCTGGAAAGGAAGGGAAGAAAGGGGAAGACCGCAACCGTTCCATCTGCCGTGCAGCGCAGCGCGGACGGAGGTGGGTCCAATCGCAGCTGCAGTAACGCTCATTTGGTTCAGGCGGGGAGCTCCCGTCCGCTTTCAGGCGGAGCTGCGGAATAGCAACGGTGGAAGGCGTTCCGTTGCCTGTCGCGGAAGAGGCGGGTGTCCCCGTGAGGGTGTTTCTTAATATTTTGGGGACGCAATTGGTTTGTTTTCTTCGCCACAAACGCGGTGCCCTTGGGGAGGCGTGGCTGTGTGTGGCCGAGGCTGTGGGCGTGGGACCGATGCTCGTGGAATCGCACGTTTGCGATCCCGTCAAAAAAGAAAAATGCCGAACTGTGTGGTGACCGATTGGGTGATTCCAGGTGAGCTGCGGTTTGGGTGCCTGCCGCTGAGTCGGGGGACAATTGGAATCATCCGGTGCATTTCCATCTCTCGCGGGGATTCGTTCCAGAGGCGCTCCGGCGCGATGTCGTTGGGAAATTCATTTGCTTGATCAAAGGGGAAACTTTTGAGCATCCTTTTGAATTTGCAGCTTTTTGTGCTTTGGCATTAATGATGGTGTTATTCTGTAGTTGCGGACGTCGTGCACTACCCGTATTAATACGTAATATTCCGGCCCGTACACCAAACATGATTCGTTCTATCATTGCACAATAAATGCAATGTATGTTAGTAGGTGAGCAGGGCTTGTGAATTGACACGCATGGCGCGTCGAAGCAACTGCAGACGGCAGGCAATAGGGTCGCTCCATAGAGAAGATTAAGCTGGACAAAGTATGCAGAAATAGATCGGGACTGGAAGCCAGGAAAACAACTGGGAGCACCATAAGCGTGAGTTCCAATGCTCACAATTGCTGGCGGGAATGCAACACATTTGGAGAATTCTTGTAATCCATCGTTAACGATAATCCAAAATGGTTCCCATCAGTAACTCTCCTAGGATCGAGAAAAGTTTGCGCTTCACATACTTTTGTTGCCCTAGTGACGTTGACTGAGTCTTGTAGGGATTCAATGTATCAAGAACGTTGAACGTTACGTGTGCGAATGTGCCTGCTTGTATGTGTTTGTCGTTCTCTTTGGTAAAGAAAGCGTTCTGGCTTGCGCTTTGATTATTTACGCATCTCTGGTGACCGCCGCCGTTTTCACGTTCTGCACGGAATTTCTCCTAACGAAAATCATTGCTGGGTGCTTGTCTTTCTGTTTATCGACTTTGCTCTCATTCAGACATGTCTATTTCACTTCGATTTTAATCTTTCGCGGTGCAGGTCCTTTGAGTTTGATTGTTGACTCATTTGATGACAGCATGCGCGCTTTCTTTTGTGACTCCCAAAATTACTGTCGATCGCGTTCCAGCCATCGAAAACGAAGCAAATGACGGCATCCTCAACGGCACAGGCGCTGGGGATCGCCATGACCTATCCACGGGGTTGCATCCGCGCTGCTGGCGATGCCGAAGCAGTACCATTGAAACCGCACACAGAGCCCATCTCCAGTGCCCAATGACTTTGTGGGTTGCGCTGAAGCCTTCGTCTGAGGCGTCAACCACAAATACAACAGATTTTCCAATCTCTCTCAGGTCGCCATTCCATTGAAGATGAAGGCGCTGCCATGCCCTCCGATGAGTGGCCCACTCTGACGACTGACGCCTGTTGAGGCTGGAGTCATGTTCCCTTATCCCAATGTGCTTTCGCACATGCCCAAACAACAATTCGTTAGATGTTGAAAGTCTCGGTAGTGCCTCCCCATTACGTTAGGGCATTTTTGTATGAAGACTCTCCCACTTCTTTTCTTTCAACTGTCGACGCATGTGTCTCGCAAAATTCCCGAGTGTCTTTGCATTCCGCACATTTCCTTGTGCCCCAAGGCTGGTTTTTGCTGGAAAACCCTTTGCACAGTCTCCTGCACGACCGCCGTGCTGGAGCAGCCTTGACAATCCCCCCGTGGGGATGTCATGGGCACTGCCGGGCTTGTATCTTGTCGAGTACCGAAGACACACAGCAAGAACCTGGGCCCACCTTTACACGCAACTTGCTGCCTCAAGCCTTCCGCTGGTGAGACCCTGCAAACTCTTCCGACCCTCCCCCACGGCCTGCGTCCACGCGTCGCGTCGATTCCGACCCTCGATCCGGGCGCCGGTTCTTCGTCGCTCTCGTTTTCGCATGCCGCGATCCCTCCCCCGGCTTTCGCCCGCGCCTGTCGGGGCTGCTCGCGGCGGGCACCAAGCTCCCGGCTGCTGTCCCGCGGCCACCGCCGATGCAGCTTCCGCCGTCCGCTTTCGGTCGACGCCACCCGCGCACCCCAGCAGCGGGCCAACCAGCCCATTGGACGCCCCGGTCCGGCTGCTCTCATCGGGCCGCGTCCCGGCACCCTCTCCGCCCCGGCCCGCCGGCGCTGCGCCTCTTCCCCCTTGGATCGAGACGCCGCATCGGTTACAGCAGCCCCAATTGTTCGTCCGCTCAGCCTCCAATTGGGCCGAAACTGCCCACTCGCGGTCAGGGGAGTCCTGGGCCAGGATGCCTCCCATTACCCGTAGACCCGCCCCAGCTCCACTCCCTCTTGCCGGGTCGCAAACCTCCAAATGTCGATGACAGGCCCCTCCCGTTGCGTGTGGCCCAGGCCGGAAGATGCGTTAGCGCCGCCTGCGCCCGCGCGGCGATGGCAGGGGACGGCCAGGAGGCAGGCGGCGGTTGCTGCCCACCCAAGGCTGGTGCCGCGCCGAGGAGGCACGCCGGCGGCCAGCGATGGGGGGCCGTCAAGATGGCCGCGATCGGTGCCATCTTGGGGACGCTGCTGCTGAACGGGCTGCTCGCATCCGCCCCCGCTAAGGTGAGCCCGGGGAGTGCGTTTCGGGTTGCCGCGGGCTGGCTTGGGCTGTTGGCAGGCCAGAGGCTATCTGGGTGGCCGTGGGGGTTCAGGAGATGAGGATGCGGAGTCGCAGCGGGGGGGCTTGTGTGCGCGTTGCTGCGCTGATGGGCTGATAGGCGGAGACTTTGGCTGGATTGGAGGGCCTTGCGCCACCGCAAGGTCTGCGCTTATTCCTCGCTTGCGCTGTTTCGGGCGACGGGGTGTGTCCCGTCGTTGCCAACGCCAGAGTGCGCTGGGTGCTTTTGAAGAAAGGTATGCTTGAAAATGAGTGAAAGTGCATGGAAATGATTGGGGATGCAATAAAGGGTATGGAATATCAGAACCGGAATGTGTTGTGGCTGAGTCTGAAACTGGCAGATGAAAAGTTCAAAGAAGGACATCTTCCGAATGGGACCAGCATTGTCCACATTAGGTGGCTACCATGCTGTTGGGAGTCAGATTATAAAAAGGATCTGTGCAAATTCTGTCCCAGCCCGCGTCCACACCCTAGATTTTGAGCCTGACAAATCTTTGCCGTGTCCACACCCTGTTTTTTTTCCAAACATGGTCCATTAAACTGATGGAAAAGAGAAAAGAGAAAAGGAACGAAATTGTTGTTTTGGGTAACAACGAAACTGACAAAGTGTGCCTCTCTTGAACACAGATGATCGGACAGTGGCCACCAAATGATCATTAACAAATTTATTGGTTTTCGATGAGTATGGTAGATGAACAGATGGTGTATGTACCTTGTGCATAGGAAGTAAGCCTCGAAATTGTGTTGCTGATTGGATTGGATGTACCATTTTTCAGACTCTTTGTGGTAGACATGCTTGCTGTGAGAGAGGTCTCAGCTTAGGTTGTCAGGACTGGCTGCTGATATGCACTGCTGCCAACAATGGAGAAGGGCTGGCAGCCTGTCTTGTCCAGTCCCCAATGGAAGTACTTGTACAAATTGATTTATTCACCTTTCCTTGTTTGGCATCAGATTTTTGGAGCGAAAACCGATGTGTTCAAGGAATCGCCACCAAGGTGGGTTTCTCCAAAGTAGTTGAGTGTGCATGGCCTTTGTCATAATTATTGTGCAGCAACACTGCCACAAAGCACACACTCATATGGACTCAGTTTGCCTGGACTGTGGGCATGGATTAGTTGGAAATACAGTGATCTTCTTGATCATTCAGGTAGCAAAGAGCATTGCGGTTGTGCTTGTTATCGCAGCTGGTGGCTGTTGAACCAAATGCTGTCATGTCTCGCTGTGTTGACAACCTGGTGTCATCCCTATCTGAGCATCTGCTCAGCTAGGGTCCTGAGAAAGCTTCTTGTCAAATTGGCATCGGCAAATCGTAATATGCGTGATGCAGGCTCCATCCTCTGTACCATTCCTGCTGTAGGAAAGGCCTCTGATGTCTGAATTCGGTATAGACATGCACCATGGTCAGTATGCCTTTTGTGGCATCGGTGTAATGGATGCTTTCTTTCGTTCTTGTGCCACTCTGTGTTGCACGCCACGCTGTTGCTCTTGCATATTTCTGAGCGGTCCTTGGCAAAATAGAAAAGCATATCAGAAATCGCTAGACCAGGAGGATGTTCTCCACTGTGCACCTGTGCTGGGAAGACACTCCCAACCTGTACTCCAGGACTCACCACAGGCTGCTGAAAGGTACATCAGCGAATGCTTGTTGCCTGTGCAAGCCGGTCTGAAAACCTGTTCGCCACCTTTTGAACCTGCTTGGCCCATCATACTCATCGGCTGGTAAAGTCATCTGCTGACCCAGTTGGACGCTGTTGTGCCAATGCACAGGAGTCCACCAAATACAAGGGCACAGGGCAATCTCGATGCAAGACTTCTAAGCACTAGTTACAATTCTGAAGTTGGCGAGAAGACAACGGAGACATGGCAGTGGGGCGGCAGCCAGGGTGGGCATCAAGAAGTGGAGGGCAGGCTCAAGGTGTGTTGTTGATGTTGGTAGTCAGACTGACTACAGTGAAGACCCCATTGACAAGAGGGAACAGGCCTTGCCATGTTACATCCTTGTGAGCTAGAGGTTCAGGAGGCCCTTTCCATCCCAAGAATATGATGGAGAATGAATGGAGCTGGCTGGGGATGTGGGGTCTATATTGTGCACCTTGAGCATAGAAAGTACGGAAGACGGAAAATCTGCAAGAAGTGCACAAGACAAGTTACAGGAAACAAACCTTCATTTGCTGAGAATGCCCATCACCGCCCGCCATGACCAAGGGCAATGTTTGGCCTGTGGGGTAAACTCAATTGAGGAAGAGGTAATGGATACAGTTGCCAGGTTCTGGGAAAGCGACAGTGTCACTATGTTTGGAAGGAACTTCTTCCTACCATGCCATGTGTCTTTGTTGGTGGAGGGTACAAGCCAGGGCTGTTTCTTATTGCCATATGAATCGAAGGGTTTGCTGCCGTCACAGACAGAAAACACCCACTTCATTTGGATTGTGCTCACTGACGGCAGCATGATTGACACCTGTGAATGATGTACAGCACATTATTTTCACAGCCTATTTTCTGCCTCAACCACCTCGTCAAGCCAGCATGTTTCCCATCAGGAGCTCAATGCTGATTGTGTTTGATTCCCAATGTTCTGGTGTTCATGTCTGTGCCATTTACTAGCAGCAGCAACCCAGGTTAAGTGTTCTGTATTAAAAACTATATAACCAGAGCAATAGGAAGACATTTTGTGCGATGAATGGGCTGGGGAAAGAAAACTCACGAGTGTCAGTTGTGCTGCTATTTAACTTCTGCTTGCGATAATGACATTGGCTAAACACACGGGGTCTGACGACACTTTCACTCACCCCTCTTGGGTCTCAGAGTCACAGAGTCGCAGGCATGCTCTTGCCTAAGCAGAGGCTCGCGTGTGGACAACGAAGGTGGCTGCACATCATTATTACATTTAATGTTTGTACGAGTGTAGCATGTATAATGGTAGAAAATGTACTAATAGCAACAACAATGTTCGTAATGATGATTTGTAATGGCATCTGTCTTGGTAATGTTTTAGGTGGCGCTGATGTTCTTGTCCGCGGGCCCCATGCACAACGAAATCGCCTGGCGCGCATTCTTTGAAGCTGCATCCAGTCTGCAGCTCAAGCAGCCCGCACGGGTGCCAATGCCCACCCGCACGGACCTCAAACAGTTGGTGGGCGGGCCCTTGAAGCCAGAAATACCAAGCCTCAGGGAAGAGGAGTACATTAGCTACAGAAACCAACATGGTTTGGAACTCGACTTCGACAGGTATGCGCGGCTGGCTGGGGACTTGCAGTGGGGGGATGATGGTGCTTTGAGTGCCAGGACTCTGCTTGGGAGCGGTGACAAGCTTGGGGATGATGAGCTTCATGGGGATGGAAAATGCATGGAAGAGGACCACATGGTGGCTACGACGATAAATCGAATAACAAAAGGTGATAAACACGGTGCAGTTGCCATCACTCGATGGTGCACTAACTCTGCAGCTGAGGGCACCTTTGATGCGCAACCAAAGGTGCTTCGGTAAAGCAACGCTTCAATCGAGCACTGAAATAGTGGAGTACTGTGCACACAAGGATCGCCATCATTTGTTTGTGCCAAATGCGTGGTGGGCAGACATGTGGACAAATGTGGGACAAGAGCATGTTTTTTGTCCGCGCACATGCCTGTCAATGCATGCAAGGTGCAAGTGCCCCACGTTGTCGTTGTGAAGGCAGATCCAGTGCAAGGAATGCAGCCTGCCTGGTTATTGGTGCCAGAACCGCTGCACCCTACCAGAACGCTCTGCTGGAAAGCTGCTCACGAATGTGATGGCTGTGGTTGACGCGTGACAGTACCAAGTTGTGGATGCTTGCTGGCAAAGGTACTTCTTTGTGTTATGTGCCTTTCTGTTGATGTTATTCACTTTGCAGACAACGATGTAATGAAACATCAACAAACAGGCCGTTCTTGGCCAAGTGTACCAGAAAACTTTGCATCATTGCTACATTGTTCAGATGCCTGTGGTTGGAAAAAGTCAAGTGATGGTACTTGAGTGCGTTCCCTGGTTGATTTTGAAGGAAATAAGATTGGGAAAATGATAATGCACATGTACCATCGAGTACTGGACATGCTCATGCAGTTCCAGGCGAGCAGAGCAGCACATTTGCCTTAGTGTACCATCATAATTGTTCGCTTCCTGTTACCACTGGATGAAGTCCACTTTTGGCACCTGGTTAGTGCTGTAGCCCAGCACATACTGATGAGCATTGTTGTGCTAACATTCACAGCATTGTTCAAAACGTTCACAGCGCACCAACCAACACGAATGAATGCCTTGTACTTCAAGGCTGAATGCTGATGGAAGTTAACCCTGCGATGCAAGATACTTCGGGGGCCTCCCGCCTCGTCAGTCAGCAGGATCTCTTCTCGCTGTACGTGCATGCTCCACCCGGCCATCGGTACCCCTCCGACAGCCTGTTTCACAGGGCCGAGGTGTCCCGGCCAGTCAACACCACCAACGGCTGGGGCAAGTTCGCCTTGGTGCTTGCCGAACTGCGGCTGCTGGAAGAGGCCCTCCAGGATCCCCTGAATGTCAAGTTTGTGCTGCTGTCGGAGTCATGTGTGCCACTGCATGGGCCAGACCTTGTGTACCTCCAGCTCATGTCTGAGGCGAGGAGCAGGCTGCGAGGGTGCCTGTCGAAGCCCCGAAGCCCTGAAAGGTGTGATATGAGCGTATTCAGCAGGATGCCATGCGAGTCCCCGGACACGGAATTCTACAGACACCAACTGTTGTGCACTTCTGTTGAGATCTACCAGCACAGGGCTCAGTCTCAGTCCTGTGCTGTCTCAGTCACTGACACATTATGCGTTCCAGTGTTGACAATCCCTGTTGTCTAATGAGGAACGGCAACCACAACACACAGGCACATAAACACATAAGTGTACAAAAGCCATGGCCCTTGTGGAGTGGTCGGCACTTGAACCTGATGGTGCTGATTGCAAGGAGAGGTAGCACAGACTGAGTAATTTGTGGCAATCTTGGGGGCAACAAGAATGCCGGTCCTGCCATCTTGGCCATGAGTTGATGAACATCAATTGTCAAGCACATTTTGGAATTTGCCATGCTGCAATGCGAGCAAACATCCCAGACACTGATCATCACAAACAACTGGGAAAAGTTTGCACGGCAGTGCCCTCTGCATCTGACTGCAGGTGGCAGCCAGCCATGAAGACCCCTTACCTGTCTTTCGAGCACTGGCGGAAGAGCTCCCAGTGGAAGGTGCTCAATCGAAATCTTGCCGAGCTGGTGGTTGCGGACCAGCATGTGAAGGAGATATTCCGGAGGCATTGTTACAGCCGTAACAGTCCTAAGCAAGTGTGCATTCCTGATGAGCACTACATTCCCACGCTCATCGCCTCATATAACCTGGAGAATGAGGTAGGCAATGTATTGGTGGGTAAGGCTTGCAAGACAGTTTGGTGGCACTTATGGCTGCAACTGATTGCCAGTCAGTAAAACTGTTCCTTAAGTGATGGGTATCTGTGAGACAATTCAGACACTGTTTAAACTGTGGTCGTAAGGATGTGCACATCAGCCGCGTGACTGAAACCATCAGGGCGCTGGTGGCCAATCTGATACCCACATTTTTTGCTGGCATAGTTGTGATCGACAAGGAAAGGATTTGCCCGCACGGTTGCCGGAAATGAGAACCCACATTCTGCACGACATTGTGTCTTTGGGTGTTCTTGTTAAGGAATGCATGATAAGGAAGCGAGGACGTGCACAGTAGAGGGGTCTTTCTTGTCATGTGGGACATCTGTAATAGGAAGGAATATGTGCAGGGGCGCACCGACTGCTCTAAGTATTTTCAATACTTGTGAACGAAAGCAGTGTACTCGCACATGGTTGAGCACTGGGTGGAAGCGCCTGTGTCGGCAAAGTGCTCTACATCTTGGCACGGAATGGAATATGGGAGGCCCCAATATCCGAGATATGGAATATGATATTGCCGTCGTATCCCAGATATGCTTATCCAACATATGGCCACGTCATGGATATGGAGGCTCTGTGTCCAGGATATTGGCGCCCAGGTCCTTGGACACTGCCATATCCTGGGTGTGGAACTTTTCCCCGACGACTGGTCACTGCATGAGTAAGACTTGCCTCCTTGTGACACTGCGCACCGTGTGTGTGGAAGTTTGTGCAAGAAAGGCCTGGCCTCGGAGTGCTGAATGAAGCTCTTTCTCAATGACACGAACGTCATTCTGTGCGTGTTTCATTCAATTACAGATTTCCGTTTGCCTAGGCAACAAGCTAACCATCAGCTCCCAGCATCGCACAAGGGAATCGGTGCTGTTTGTTCGCGCAGAGTCCGCCTACTGTTCGTACAAGTGAGCCGACATGCAATAGAATTCTCAAAGGACCCTTGGCGTGTTTCAATGGTGGAAGGCCCCGATCGCTTGTTGTGATAGAATTGATACAAGGCAGTCCTTTTGAATTTTGTGTCGACTGACGGATTGACCTGTCAGGTGGACATCAGCATTGGCGAAGCTCCTAAAGGTCCCAGCCCGTCATTGTCTTTGGTTGCAGACTGATTGCATTGGCCGTCCAACGTATTACTCCATGTACGGAGGGTCGCACCCACGGCAGTTCAATGCTCAAAGCGTGAGTGTGCCACTTATACGAAGGTAGGTACCAATAGTATTGAATCGAATGTGGTTGAAGTAGATGGAACTTCACAGCTTTCTTGACACAGCTTTGTGTTGCGAGCGCATGGTTGTCTGTGATTGTGATTTGTGAAGTGTTTGGTTCTCATGATGCATAGATCGATTGGCTTGAACGGACGGACATCCACCCTGAGACACAGCATTGTCGGTGCTATCATTTGGCTGGTTTTCGTACTGATTGATTGTCTAGTGCCTTCTTACTGCAGGATGCAGGCGGGCGACGAGGATGCCTGTGACACACGCGACATACCTGAAGCAAGGAGATCGGCGTTGAAGCTGTTCACTGGACTGAATGGCACGGGCTGCGCTCGAGGCGCTGCAAGCGCTGAAACTTTGGATGCTCCCCTGTTGAATCCGACGGATGTGGAAGGATCTGACAATTGGGTGGGCAGAAATTCTTATTTACTTGTCATTTGTTGTCCGTCAATTATTACTTATTTTCTTATTCATTTAGTTTGTATTTGTCCATCAATCAGTCGGCCCGTTCAGATAGGGAGGGGGAGGGCATGCTGGCTGCAAAGAGCCAGGTCATACAAAGGGGAGCCCCTCCCCATCAAGTGCGTGCGAGAACCTGTTCCATACAGTGGCCGTATTCCAACCAGCAACTGCACGAGTAAATCCCGACGGGATGTGCGGTCATGACAAGCCCCCGGCAATTAAGGCACTGTGGGGAACTGCTATCGTGGTCGCACGAGCAAGCCCCAGCCTTTGCGGTCACAGTGCCGACCTGTGACACCCATAATGAAAGTCTCGTGTGCGAACCACGAGCCCACGACCTGCGGCCGCATGACGCCATGTGGTCGCACTTCTAGATTGCGTAACATCTTCCGCGGCCTGCCCTTCCACCCCAGTCCTTCCCCCTCTCTTGTGTGTACTAATGCTTTTGTGTTGAACCCTACCGAAATCAAAACTAGTTTACTTTTGAGTTATGAGCATTGCTCACAAATCAGTGATTTGCAAAATCACTGGCGTGATCCTTGTCGGCTGAAATATGGAACTCAAGACGATCACGCCTTGTTTGACTGATTGGCTGAATGGGTGGATGACAGTGCGAATCGTTGCCGCAACTCCCAGGTGCTGCAGAGCGGATACCGCCCGCTGGGCGGCCACTGCCCACTCTTCGCAAGAAAGTTTCTGCCGGGGTCAATGAACGCCACACTGGCGGCACTGCTGTCATGCCGTGGCGGTGCGCTGGGGTCTTGGTGTTAAGGGCAGAGGAAGTTGCTGATTATTGCTGCAAACTTGCAACGGAAGGGTGCAGGGGACGAATAAAAGCTGGGTCTTCATGAACAGACGGGGCAATCAGCGGCTCACGCTGCTTGGTTGAGTTTTTTTAGAAATTGTGACGCCAGCTATAGCCAGGTAAATCGTGAGTTCATGAATTCAATGGTTGATCAAGTGGGCATGCCTTGGTGACATGGCGGGCTGGGCGGGCCTCTTCTGGCATCCTGTGGGATGCCGCATCTCTTCAGGCCCGCTGCTGGAGCTTGTCTGTCCATAACCGGGATTTCCAATGGATTTGCCAGTTTTTTTCGGCTTTGTTGGCAATCAGCTTCAAGAATGCCGTCGAGACAGTGTCGCGAGTCTAGTGGGAGTTGGGTCAGTGATTCGTGCATCAGTGAATGGGCGACGTGCATGGTACCCTTGAATGGCAATGTCGAGAATGGTGCGAACCATTCGCAGTTCTGACGTGACACAGGGTGTTGGATGCCGCAACAATCGCAGCAGCAAAAGAAGCCCACGAGCGGTGGGGAATGCAACGATGCGATGGGATTCGTTAGTTCACGAGTCGACAACACGGTCGATGGACATCCGCAGGGCATTAATGACCATGGATGGTTGAACATTCGTGCCCTTGCGCAGCCACAGATTGCATGTGACCTGGAGAGTTGGTTAGGTGTTAGCGTACTTGCAGCAGTTGGAGCTTAAGGCCTTGTGTTTGTGGTATGGCTGATATGTGCAGGAACCTGGCTTGATGGGGCTTCATAGACAGTTGCCACCTATTAAGAATGATCGAGCAGCCCCGTCGCGGACATGCACCTTTGTGTATGGGTGCCTGGAGTGCCTTCATGCCACTGATGCTGGTTGTTGCCGGTTCCTTGAGAAATGATTTGTGTGCATGTAAATGAACATTTGAGAGAAGGCTCGCCACTGCGGCTGCGTGGTGGCTGTGATCCACTTGCTGCGGGTACCATGAAGTCATCCATATGGATGCGTATGCATGCATATGCATGCATGTTGAGTTGCGCTGATGTTACATGCTTTCGGCAGGGAGCAGTGTGAAAGCACGCGCCGTGCCCTTGCCTCACCAGCGCATCCCACAGCCAAATGCGTTGCTGTTGCACGCGAGGTCCATCAGCTGTTGTCAGCTGACCCGGATCTCACGATCCAAGTGCATACCAACGTCGCCACCCGTACTGTGCGCCACATGTGCGCACGCCTTCAATTTTAGCGGGCTTTGGCCGTTTATGGGCGGGCGGGACGGAGCCGTTCGCCCATGGTTAGGCGTTGATACCAGTTTGCCTGCCAAAACCGGCATTGTCGATTGTTGATATTCATCACAAAATTCATCGAGACCTCATGGCATGCTGCTGGCCCTTACGAATACGAGTGTGCCCTACCCGATCGAGGCACATATCATTTGTGCATTAGTACGCATACACACGCATGCTTCTAGTTCAGTCCATTCTGCATTCATCGTCACCAATTGTCCCATTTGAAGCGTGTCTACAAGCGCTTGGCGCCCTTGTGCTCTGGCGATTGTGACACTGTTTGCAACACTGCATAATGACCACCGTTTCATTGGTGGATCACTTATGCATTATGGTGTGCGACTTGTACATATTTGTACATTACCACTAAGTGTATGGGCACCTTTGACATATGTTTCATGAAGTGGGTTGCATTGTGGTGATGAATGGGCATCTCTGAAGTGCGGTATGGCTGGTTGATGATGGATGATGGTCCTTGTCACATGAAAAGGAAAGTTCTGTGGGTGCAAAAAGATTCGAACTGTTCGGTTGCAGGGGTCGTTGCCGCCATCGGCAAGGCTCTTCGTTGTGGGAAGGGTGAACAAATATGTAAGCCCTGGGCGTTTTGTGTGTGGCGTGGCCTTGCATCTGGCCGTGCGCCAGCCCATTGAAGCATCGGCGATCGTGGATTCGCGCTTCCCGTGTGCACTCCAAAGGGGGCCGTTCGAATTGCATCAACGGCATTTCCTTCAAGAACACCCCATGAGCCAGGCTCATCATCGAAATAATATTACTGCCTGCACCAAATCGGTGACTGCTTGCACCAAGTCACGTGCACACTTTGTCCTAACCTCAGTTTTAGGGTTAGGTTTAGTTCAGGGTGAGTTTTAGGGTTAGGGTTAGGGTTAGGACAGGTTTAGGTTTAAGTTTTAGGGTTTAGGTTTTAGGTTAGGTTAGTTTTGACGGAGTTGGATATGATGTGCACGTGACTTGGTGCAAGAAGTCACCGTTTTCGTGCAAGCAGTCACCGATTTGATGCAGGGAGTAATTTTATGCCCTCATCATCTCTCTAGTTGATATTTCTCGCGGCAATGCCGATACCGTTGTTGTTTCGACGTGGCTGCAACGCAGTTTGGAACAAGGTGGGTACCGCATTTGGCAGTACCATCTGATAGCTTGTTCCTCATGCCATAGTGTGTCCTGAGACCCCCCCCCCCCCTTTTAAGGAGCAGGGTGCCGACTCCCAGGGCGGCCCTCGGAGGTCACCACGGCAGGGACGGGAAAGCACGGCTCGTCAGTGGGACACCAGCGCGGCACCAGCGCGGCTGGCTCAATGGGCAGCCCAGTGATCGGAACTTAACCAACCTGCACTCCGCACCGTCCGTCCCGCATGGCAGGTGCTCACGCGATCTCCATGATTGCGGCGTTGAAGCAGGTTGATTCGCCCGCGATGGTGCGCGGCGGTACGCGGCGTGATTGCATGGAATGTCGGATTTTTTGCCAATTCAGTCCTGCGCATAGATCGGCGCGTTCCCCGCCTGCTCGGCGCCTCCGGCAGCCCTCACACCGATTGCCGCGGTCCGCCAAGGCGCGCCGTTCGCCGCTCGTTGGTTGCGCCCGCCGCGGGTAAGTCCGCACGAAGTCCCTCACATCCCCCACCCCCACTCCACCCCGAACTGCACACATCTCGCATCAAATGCATCTCCCGCGGGCCCATCTGCGCCGGGAGCTGGGCGTTTCCCGGCTGTCGGGGCCGTGCTCTGGCGAACGCCGCGCCGCCGACTATGATCCCCCGCCTTGCGCACTCTGCTCGACATGCTGCACACCAGTTGCACGCTCTGCACCCTGTGCACGCTCCACCCGGCGTTGTGCGCGCCCTCTGCACACTCTGCTGCACCCCCGCTTCTGTGCCCCGCCTCGCTTGGTGCATCTCCCTGGGCGCGCTTCCATCCGGCCGGAACCTTTGTCCGCTTGCAACCCTTTGTCGCTGCCACACGCGATCCGACGGTGCCGGCGCGCGACGCGACCCAATCGTGTCTGTGTGCCCCGCGGATGACTGCGGCAGCCGCGAGCGCCGCGTGTCCGGCCCTTGGGAACGACCGCAGAGCTCACGGCGGTGGGGGGTTGGGGGAGTGGGGGGCATGGGCTACAGCACATGTTCACCCTTGCGTACGAGGCTGTGAGCGCAGATCACGCTGCCTCTGCGCAGTCCACAGCCCGGCGCCTGTCAAGGACAACCGAGAAGACACAACATGACCTCCCCGTGGCGTATGGCGCAGGCGGGGGAATGTTTTAGCGCATCTTGAGCAGCGGCGGCGATGGCGAGGTGGAAGCCCGTGGCGGTGGGTGGTTGCTGCCCAGGGCCGACCGAGGCCGGCGCCAGGCATGGCTGGCGCGGGGCCGCCAAGAAGGCAGCGGTCGCGGCGGTCGTGGGGTACCTGCTGCTGAACGTCGCCACGTATTTCGAGGTGCGTCCAAACGGGGAGCGTCCCGGTCGGCTGGCGGGGAGCGTCGGGGAGGGGAGGCCGGCGAGTTTTGTCGGGGGGTGTCCAAGGGGGCGCTGTGGGGCGCAGTGAAGGGGCACCTGGCGCAAAATGGCGTTGACTAAAACGTGTGGTCTGGGCCATGAAATTAGTCGCCCTGTCTTCCGTCAAGACCCACTCCTGTTGGTCGCACTCTAAGAGCATCTTTATCGGTGGGCGCTATTGCATCGGCGGAGCTATCCAGGAACGGTTCTCATTGGCTGCCGTGGCACCTTACTAAGGCGGCATTTGCCGAATAGCGCCGGTGCTATTCTGGGGAGCTATTCGGCCCCGAGCGGCGCTATTCGGGGCCAAAATAGCGCCGCCCGGCACCGAATAGCTCCGGGGGTGCTATTGGGGTGCTATTGCTCCCCAACCGTTAATGATGGTTTTTTGACGTGCGGTGCTATTCGGATAGCCGAATAGCTCCGCCGGGACAATAGCACCCACCGAGAAAGATGCTCTAAACGCTAATAGAAACCACTGACTCACTGACCAGCGTTGGCCTTGTCGGTGGAAGAAAAAAGGGATCGTCACGGAAGACAGAGGGGCAAATATGCTCTTGTAGCCTACACGAGTGATCAGTGGGTACTATCGTATACTACTATCGTAGTATCGTCAAAAGAAGCCCTGGGCCCCAGCCTCGGGACGTACAGCAGTAATTTTGCAGTCACCACTACGCGCGGCTCAGATTGGCGGATGTCAGACTGGAACAAAACCAAGAAAAGCGCATTGTAGGATTCCTCCACCATTAGCAATCTATCAGGCAGCCAGAATCAGCTGCTGACCAGCCTCAGATCAGCAGTGCCGAATTCAAGCATCCAAAAGAACCGAGGGTTTCACAATCAAACCCGCAGCTCAGAATTAAAATGCAACAAATTCCCCAAGAATTCGATCATTTCTTGCAACAACCTTGCCCAGAGTGACGGCATACTCAGGCCATCGTAAATTCTAAGCAATGTGCTTGCCATGGGTCCACTCGCGAAAGCGTACGCGTGCACACGCAGTTCTCACCACAAGGATGTCACCTATATGCGTACATCTACCAACACAGTGGTCAGCATGGGGCATCACGAGTATGCTTCCATGCGTGTCGAAAAGTCGTTTTCTTCGCAGCTTTTCTTTGACATTTCCTCCTGAACAGCTTTGTATTGATGTTTTAATTGCTTGCGAAAAGGGGAAAACGTTGTACAGTTGTGCCGAAATGCCAGCCTTATTAAAATACGATTATGTGCGCGCATTGTCCTCCAAAACCTTGTTTTGTGTTGAGCAGTTCCTGTACTGCAGATAGACTGTTTTCAGCCAACCTTTTAGTGGGTGCAATGGACAGGCCACCTTTGTGGCCAGCTGCTAACTTGGCACAACTGGCAGTGCGGAATGCCACAGATTTGGCAGCTCTAATGAAAGGATTGGGGGAATGCTGGTTCCTTTGGCAGGATGGCAGGAAGTGGGGAAGGGTGAAAAATTGCCATTTCCCACGGTGCTAAAAGTGCATAAACAATGGATACCATATTTGTGTTCAGTGTATCAGTTGGCTCTGAGGATATCTGCAATTGGCAACCACACTTGCAATATGTGATTGTGCAGTGCAGAATCACGCATCGCAACTGCAGCTTTAAGCAATTTATGGATATCATTAATAGTGTGCCACTCTACCGATCAATGGTCGAAGCGGCATTAAACTATGAACGAGTGGCGTCATCTTTGTTGCTTTCTTGATGCACGACCAGCAATGTCATCATTATTGATACAGCAATAATGATGGTACAGATAAAAAATGACGTTGATAACTATCGGGTTGAACGAACACTTTCGCGCTCGCACACGGTCGCTCCCAGGCACAGGAAGCAAGGCCGTAACCAGATGCATTACAGAATGAGCGTATCGGTCTAAATACCAGTCACTGCAATAATATTCGATACCCAACTCCATTGTCTCCATGTACATTCGCCATAACACCATGCTCACGCATTCACTTCCAACCATAAAACACCATAGATCACATATAGTATTTTTAATCGCTCCCTCGCCCTCACAATAACAATAAGAAGAAACAATATGAATGACAAAAGCAATAGGATTCATGTCATTTTCTGCCCATGGGACGGACAATTGGGACCTGCCTTTCTCATTGTCATCGAATTTGGGAATGCATGGGGACATGGGAGGTGCGAAACCGCATTACACACAGCTGCCAAATATGGCGAGTTGCTCCTTTTAGGCCCATCGGCCGATTCCTGATCATGGAGGCACTTGCCCAGTCTACGATGGTAGTGGTGACTGCCGATGCACTTGATCCCCAGTGATGGATGTGGAGCTCCACCCTGGTATTGGCAGCCCGACTTCAAATCGCCTGCCCATGGAAGAGCGCAGGCTGGCCATTTGTTGTGCTGACCTTTATGTTGTTTCAATCTCAGGCTTTCCACACAAGATCTGACATGGCCGAGCGATGGGCACTAAGGTCAGCTGACCAATTTCTCAATGCGAATTGCTGCCTGTTGCATTTGTACTATTATGTCATCAATCGCATTACTGCAACAGCTTTCCGCACAAGATCTGACATGGCTGAGTGATGGGTTCTAAGGTCAGCTGGCCAATTTCTGAGTGCGAATGGCCACCTGCTACATTTGTATTATTATGTCATGAATCGCACTACTGCAACAAGGACTGAGAACTCATCCGACAGCAACGCGTTAGTCGAGCATCTATAGAGTTCTGTAGATTTCTGCCCAATAGAGTTCTTAGTGGGATGCTCCCTTTTGTCCAAGACCCTGAGACTCGGATTGCCAGCAAGAGCACATATCCTGCACCAACATGTTGGCAGTTGTACAACTGGGAGTTGAAGAGTCCTTGCTTTATCTTGTGTCACATTTGATGGTCCCTTCAGCCAAGTACTCGCGTGTCACATTTGATGTTCCCTTCAGCCAAGTATTCGCACACTACATTCTTATGCACCGATGACTCATTGAGCAATGGATCCAATTGCAGCTGCCCATTCACGTCCAGGAGCAAGCTCCAGCTGCATAGGCATCCTGCAATGCAGCATTCTGTAGACTGTAGAGTAACCTCCAGCTGCTCAGGCTGCAGTTGTCCTCTTGTCTTGAACTAAGCAGGATGCAGTGTCTGACAGGCATTGATGCACAGCTGTAAACTGCATTAATTGGAACCTGCGCTCTGGTTGGTGTGCATGTCAAAATCAATGACATGCATTGCCACACATGGTTGTGGCATACTTCAGGCACATGGCACACGAGCATTGCTCTTGTGTTGAACTGTGTTGCATGCTATTGTTCTGCATGGACTTCTACAATGTGGAAATATACCCATGGAAGTGGAATCAAACCTTAAATATCCAAAAACTGATAGGAAAGATGCCTGTTGCACCACATGTTGTCTTTGCTGTTGAAAGGCATGTTCATCTCTACTTCTAAACTCTCACCCTTCCTTAAGTGCATCTTTACATGCACCGTGTCTTGGGTGGTGCATTGGTTTCGTTGCCACCTCCTTGCCTTGACATGTCCTACATTTCATTTGTTGAAACGCCTAGTTACTGATCGGATTGGAAACTTTAGTGCCACTCATCCACTCGGACACTGTTGCAGGAGTCAAGCGCAAGTGGGGACTGCAGGTGGCCTGGATGCTGCACATGCGATCGCCGGGGACGTTTCAAATGTCGTAGGTGGCATGGAATTGACGCAAAATCGGGACATCCTGGACAAATACAAGAGATTGAAGGGGAATCCCAAGGTGTGCTGCTTGTGTTGCTGCTGCTGATCCGATGTGAGTGGACTTGATATTTTCATCAGGAGGAAAACGGGTTGCACACTGGTCAACCCCCCCCAAACCCACCACCCAACCCCGTTCTTCTTTTGAGTGTGAAAATACAATATAGTTCCAAGGAACCCTTGCAGAATGCGTGGAATAGACCAGATGGAGTGTCACTGGAAATTTGAAGTGGATCGCAGATTCGAAGCCTGCATTATCTGTCTGAAATAGAATAGGATAAAGGAGAAAGAAATAATACAATGAAAGAGACCTCCAGCACTGCTGGTCATGCCCAGGCCTGTTAACTGCAGCTCAAACACAGTCTGTATTTGTGCATTTTGTGTGTTTTAACCTGAAACACATAAGTGCACAAAGTGTTTACGCTGTGACCAACAAGCCTGGTGATGCCGACAGTAGCACTGCTGTGGCAGTAGTTTGTAGCTGTGGTTTCTGGTGGATGAGGCTGCAAACTGCTTAGATGGCGTTTGCCATGGAGTGATGTTGCACTGTATGCATGCGCCTACAAGCCCATGCAAGGTGGGATTCAGGGCACTGCGGACGGCAAGCATACATTTATGATTCATCTATATTGCCCATTGTTACATGACTGCATAACAAGCAGCTGCTCCCCGGGCATATGGCATGCAGTCGACCAGGCAGCAGGACGTCCCACATCAACTAGTGGGTTGGCAATAGTTTGGCGCACAGTGCAGGATCATTTCAAGGGAGCGAGCTTCGCGAGCAGTTGCCGCTGCTGTGGTGGCTGTTGTGTGAATCGCAGTGCATGCCAACGTCCACTCATGACTACAGTGATCTGAGAGTTAATGATCCCATTACAGGATGATTTGTTGTTTACACGAAGTATTATATTTATTAGATAGTTCGGAAGCCACAAGTCATCATGCCATGGAGCCACCGTGTTAGGTGGTCTGATAGTGTGTGCTTTTGTGAGTCAACCTCTGATGTGCTCATCCCACGCAAAGACCGGGTACACTGTCTGCCAGAGTTTTTTGACACGGAAGCTGTGAACATTGACCCAAGGTTCGGTTGAGAGTGCAAGGCCAACCATGTGTACACACGCATCCTTGTTGTCAATACATTTGTCAGTTGACAAGTCAACAGCCCCTACAGCAAGCTGGCGACGTCGGGCAATGGTCCCCAGCACATGTTTTTGTTCGGATCCTCAGAGTTTGTTCCAAAGTACGGCTGGCCAGCCCAAGATGCTGCCCAGCATGCAACAATGGGCACAGTGCCAGGCTATGGAAGTTCGCATCTACTTGGTTGTGAGATATGGCGCCGCCATGCTTGTGTAGAAGTTCCAGGCCGAAACCCTGGGCCTTTCTCAGCTGGCCAGGAGGCCGCCGCTGTTTGCGAAGACGCAATATGCACACCTTCCGGCACAGAGCAGAAAGCACTCACCGCAACCTGATGCTACGCCCAAGAGTCCTGAAAGAAGTCCCGAATCCTGGAAGAAAAGAACAGTTGCCACAGGTCACGCAAGGACACAGGGGGCTTGGGGGGCACTTTACCTTGAAAGGCACGCGCCCTTGTCAACTCATCTGAGAGTGTGACTCGTTCGTAGGTATGAGCCTTCCTTGCCTTGGCGTTCGGACATCTTTTCCGAGCACTTGGTGATTGCATTTGCCCCAGCCGTACTGTCTAGGCACTTGTGGTGTCTCCATTACGAACTGTTCAGTGACTGGTAATGCGTGGTAAGTGGTATTTTCTGGTAATGCGTGGCTAGCTTATTCAGCGAAAGGCATTCGTGGTGTATCAATGACCATGACAAGAAAATGACAAATCAGATCTTCAGCAATAGTTGTACCCAATTTGGTATTTATCATGCTCCCGTCTGCAGGTGGCGCTAATGTTTTTGACCAAGGGCCGCATGCACAACGAGCCCGTGTGGCGTGCCTTTTTGGAGGCCGCCTCTGGCCTAGATTTCCGGGAGCCAGCCCCGTTGCCAAGCCCCGTAGACCTCAGGCAAGTGGTGGGCGGGCCCCTAAAGCCGGATGTGGCAACCTTCAGCAAGGAGGAGTACATTAGCTATAGAGAGCAGCACGGGTTGGACCTCGACATGGAGAAGTATGAGAAATTAACAGGAGATTTGCCAGGGGACCACAACGGTGTGTGGCACACTAGGAGACTACTGGGGAGCGGCAACGGGTTGGCAGAAACCCTAAACAACCAAGGCAGTTGCGCAAGAGAGGACCTCCTGCTGAATGCCGCAATCAATAGATTGATGACAGGTGATGTGCGCATCGCATTTCCCCAAACAGTTGTACACAAATGAGAACAAATGTCCTGTGGCATGCATTCCGTGCTGGACCATTGCTCAACATAAAAGAGGCTTAAGGTGGCGGTACTTTCCTTGGAAGGATGTTAGCGACACACTTGCAAACCTGGCCACAATGCCCTGCTGGAAATTTGCTTACAGGAGTGCTACGACAACCACGTTTGACTCGTCGCAAATCATGGCCCTTTGCACGATTTGCAAGGTCATTGTATCGTGTTGTACTGCTGCTGACCATACAGGCTCAAACATGACCGGATATTTTGCAGAAGGCTCATTTTTGGCAGTGCAGGAAGTTGCCCATCTGCTAAAGACGTTTTGATGAGTGCAGTTAGATTTCTGGCTAATCGAAGGCTGTGAGGCTATTATATCTGCACCAAGTCCAACAGTACCAAAATGGCTGCCCAGGCTTTGTCGACTTTGCATAGTGGAGCTGAGGCTGGTCATTCAGTTCGGGTATTGAATGGCATCCACTTGCCGCATTGCACCATCTCACTTGGGCTCATCACCATGCTTGGCAGCCGTTCCAGCATCACACCACCAGTATCCTTCCTCGCGCTTACACCATTGCTTGGATGTACTGCCATTGATGAAGATGCTACAGCCTGTACAACGCCCAGTAGTAATACTGGAATGTTTGAAATGCACACAAGTGCTGCGCTTTGAAGGGCCAGTGCTTATGTAAATCAATGTGTGCCACCAGAGACGTCGAGTGGTTCTGTACCCGTCAGCCAGCAGGACTTCTTCTCGCTCTACGTGCATGCGCCCCCCGGCCACCGGTACGCCTCTAGCAGCCTCTTCCATGGCACCGAGGTGCCCCGGCCAATCAACACCACCAACAGCTGGGGGAAATTCTCCCTGGTTCTTGCAGAAATTCGGCTGCTGGAAGAGGCCCTCAAGGATCCCCTCAACGTCAAGTTCATGCTGCTGTCGGAGTCGTGCGTGCCGCTGCATGGCCCGGACGTCGTGTACCTCCAGCTCATGTCTGAGACGAAGAGCAGGCTGCAAGCGTGCATTCCGGACAACACAAGGCATAATAAAAGGTGCGATATGGTGTGATGCAGCACTATGTCATGCAAATCAACGTGCTTGTAGTGTTTCAAACGCCTGGTGTTGTGAATCTACTGCTAAATCTACTGTGGATACTCATTTCCATGGGTCTTAGATGCAGCATTCCAGTGTCAACGCTTCATGCAGTGATGTGCAGCATCCATAGCAACAAATCTGACACGCACAACTACCGTTCACACGGGGGTCTATGGTCGGGGCCCTGTTTGGGTCCCCGCATTTGAACATGATATCAGCTGAATGGGAGGTGCAGCAGTGCTAAGATTCTGTTGCGTCCTGGGATGAATATAAAACAGCGCATGTTGTCCCATATCTTGACTTGCAGTTATGCGATAGTGTGCATGCACCAATATTGGCACCACTATTGTGCACAAATAATGGTTGCACTCCTCTGGCGCCTGCGCGCGTCTCCCTCCCTCCATCGACCCTGCATTGCCACAGGCCTCCTGCCATCGCAGTCACAGGTTGATGAGCGTCAGTCGGGACATGAGTTCAAACTTGCAAGATTCCACAGGGCACCACGCCTCACGGCTCTGTTACCTCGCGATTCCACCGTGGCAACCTACTACCAGGTTGCTCAATAGCAAAGAACAAACGGCAGAAAATTTTTGGGAGCATGCAACCTGCTTCTGACTGCAGGTGGCAGGCACTCATAACGACGCCCCACCTGTCCGTCCGGCATTTCAGAAAGAGCTCCCAGTGGAAGGTGCTCAGTCGGAGTCACGCTGAGCTGGTGGTCGCAGACCGGCATGTGAAGGAAATGTTCCGACGGCATTGCTATATCTTCAACAGCACGCAGTGCTTTGTCGACGAGCACTATATCCCCACCCTCATCAGCTCTTACGGCCTGGACAATGAGGTGGGCGGTGCATGGAGCAGTTGGTGGGAACGCTTGTTTGTGCTCCGTGGCTGTGTTGTTGGAATGAAGCAGTGTTCTTTTGCTGCATTTGCCAAAAGCGGGTCCGGGTACCACATTCATGGCAGTGATGGAATTAGTGATTCCCACAGCGTCTGTGGCACCGCAAGTATCGAGAAGGTGTGGGTGTGCACACTCCTTTGCGCCTGAAGCAAGTATTTGCGTGTGTAAAACTTGCATGACAATGTGTTTTTTGGAACTTTTGTGATGAAGGGAATTGTAATTGTGCCATGAAAGGCTTGGTCTCCTCGCTCACAACACAGATATTTCCTCGCTGTCGCAACCCCCGACCTGCCTCCCCTTAGCAAGAAATATCACTTGAAGGGCGATTCAATGCAAAGGGGATACCCGTCACATACCCAGATTACATTTCAGCGACCCAGTGCCAGACATTCACACACTGGTGGCGCAAAGTTCTGAGTTGCCGTTCCACCTAATATATCGCTTACTCGAAAGGTGTGTTTGATTATGTCCAATGATTACAATCAAATTAATCCCTCAGTCAAGCGAGTCCACCTCGCTTCTCAATTGTGCATTTGTGGCAATCATGCGATCGGGTGGACATCACATGGCCATCAAATTGGCCATCACATACTAGTATATGTGATGCATACATAGTTTAGCAGCAGTTTGCAGAAATTGCGCACGTGAATCCACATGCTGCATTGCTTTCCTGAACGAATTAGCGGACATCGCACGTGTCAAAGTTTTGACTCTCCCTTTCCTGTGATTGTGTTTGACTGCAGACCGATTGCATTGGGCGCCCGACGTACGCTGATATGTATGGAGGACAGCACCCACGGAGAATCCTCCCAAAGCAAGTGAATACGACGCTTGTGAAGAAGTAGGTGAACCCCAGCGGTGAACTGAATCCCGTGGGTTTGCAGGAGAAATCCGAAAATTTGTCGACACAATCTGCGCTTTTTTTTTTATTCGCACAACACAGGGCCCTTAGCTTACTTCCGTATGTTCACTGATGACTGTTCGTCGACTTGGCCGATTTGTTAGCTGCCTGGTTTTCCGAGCTTCTCATGTGCGCCGTAGTTCGAAATTTTGAGTGGATGGGTTGGCTGGCTGAGTTTTGGACCACCGCAGGATGCAAGGAGCCAGCGAGAGTTTCTGCGACGTTCCTCGAGCTAGGGTGTCGGCATTGAAGCTGCTCACTGGCCTGAACACCACGGGCTGTGCTCGAGGTCCTGAGGAAGCTGTAATTGCGGATGCTCCACAGTTGAATCAGAGGGAAATGGAGCAATCTGATAATTGGGTGAGAAAACGCGCCTCTTGGCCAAGCCAGCTATCGACCAATACACCAACCAAAATAGCCAACCGACCATTGAGCCAAACGCTGCAATGTTGCTCGTCAGCGCAGAGATGTTTTGTCTAGTTTCAATCCGGACGTGCTTTTGCCGCCCCATATTCTCTGTATTACCTGCGTCATTGTATTGTGCCCTCCGTGCTTTGCCCAACCTCAACCTTGCCATGCAATGCAAGCAATGTTGCTGCAGGGTGTGAGTGCAGGGGCATTTGCTTTGCATTGATTCGGGATCAGTGCAGCGTTTCATTGTCGCTTTGACTAGGGTTATCCCTGTACGTTGACAACGGGACGCGCGTCTCTACCCAAATCAAAGCGGTTAGCCGCAGCACAATCCTGGCAAAAGAGCTTGCAACCACAGTGCGTTCAAACCACCAGTTTTTGATTCGCGTCAGGGTATGCCAGCTAATGGCACAGCAACTGCGTCTCACGTTAGCAGCAACTTTGCTGAGCGACACCATTTGCAGTGCCCTTCTGTTCGGATCAAACACCCGGAAAGAGAAGACAGTATTAGCGCCGCATTGACGGCCACAGCAACAGCGACGTCGCCGATGGGCTGCAATGCATTGCTGCATCGAATGCGTGTGTGCCAAAACGTTATGAGCAGCGTTCCCCACGGCTTTAGTGTTCAGAATTCGCAGCCCGTCAGCACCAACGCCATCAGCTGTGCAACTACTGGCAGGCTGTTGATGCGCAAGGCGTAGGGCAGCATTGCTTGGCAAGGCGTAGGGCAGCATTGCTTGGCAATGCGTCAGCAAACTCGCTGCAGCAGTGGCTATTGATTCTGCGTCAATGCCGCGATCAGTGCCTGGACTGCGGCTTGACGTGCGTGGTGCGCCCAGCAACAATTGCGTGGCTGATCGTCCAATCAGACGGCATCTCATGAGCCACGTTCAAATTTTGAGGGTGGTGCACGAGTGCCGGTGAGTGCTGCAGCATTGCTAGGCGTGCACCGCACTAAAGCGCGCAGTTTGCGGCATCTCCAATCACAGAGGCCCCTTCCGTACCACAGAATTTGCCTCGCATGTCATAGCGCAGCTGAAGGCTGTTTATTATGGATAGGAACATTATCGTACAATAGTGTGATGACAGGTGCTCTTGTTCGTAGTTCTTTCTTCTTGGTTTTACTGCACAATTGCGTTGGGTGCGCAATGGGCTGCGAAGCATCAATGAAGGCTCGTTACAGATCGTGGATCATGAATCATGATTCATGATTATCCTGATGGCACATTTGAAGAAATGTGACACGGTTTGGGTGAGGACATCATTGAATGAAACGATGATTTCCCCCCCGAACGGGGTGTACGGACCACGAGAAAATCGTCATTAATTTACAAAGCAGTGTTGTTCTCTGCCGAAATGAGGAGCCCAGAGCCTCAGATGTTCGTTGATGGGGATCGACTGAATGGCTGGATGACTGCATGATTCGTTCTTCGCTACTCGCAGGTGGTGCAACGCGGATACCGTCCTCTGAGTTACAGGTGCCCACTGTTCGGGAGGAAATTTGTACCACAGGCGCTGAAAGCCACGTTGAGAGCACTGCTGTCCTGCCAGGGAGCGGCGTTGGGGTCTTGGTGCTAGGGGCAGGCAAGGTGCTCTTCTTCCCAATTTTTTCGTCATGGCCGAAGGAAGGGATGGGCGGGGTGGGGTGGGAATTATTCGCTCTGTTCGGTAATTGAGCAGACATTTGATTCGATACCTTTCATTTTCAGTTCGCCATGCATTTTGGCCTGCGATTCCGCTCGGGGTCCCCATCTTTCACAGCATGCCACAACTCACTTTCACAGCCTTCCACGCCACGCCCCCATTGCTCCAACAACCCATTTGTGGATGGCGGCTGCGCGAACGCACCAGCGCCTGAACCCAGCAGGGAAGAATCTAGACGGCAATGGATTTGCAGCCTCGGGGCGCCAACTGCTAGAGGATGAATTGATGTCCAGCAAAGCAACCACTCGGCGATGCATTTTGCCCGCTCTGAAACCCGACTCTCCAGCGACTTGCTTTTGCGGTTTGGGCCGCGCTGACAACCAAGCACACCGTGTGCACCAACCACCACCCTGGGCGAGCCGGCGTGCTTGATCCCGTACAATCCCGCAGGCCACGTCACCCTGGACACGCACCACATCGCCTTTCCCCCCAGCTCCAGCCGTACCCCCAGCCCCGGGATCTGTCCCCACACCTCCAGTCACCACCAGAATTCAACGTCCCACCCCAGTACTTCAACCAGTACTCCACCATCACCCGGGACACCAAACGCCACCCTTGACGACGAAGACACTGTCCAAGGGCAGGCGAAGGCAAGGCAAGGAAGGCAACGCAAGACAAGGCAAGGAGAGTGTCCAAGGCAAGGCAAGGCTCGGCGAGCCGAGTCTCCTGCGCACAGACAGCCCCATGGAGGCGAATCCGGCCGTCACGCCCGCGGCCTTCGATCCCCGCTCCACCTACGTCCACCTGCCCGCCTGCGGGTCCGCCGATCCCGTCCCCGTCACCGAGAGCTTCTGGCCCGACCTGATCGCACGGCGCACCAACTACCCGGGCCGGCTGATGACCACCTACGACCTCACGGGCGACGCGCCACACTGGGAGATGCACCCCGCGGGGGAGGAGGTCGTGGTGCTGATGTCGGGGCGCGTGCGGTTCATTTTTGAAGAAGGGGACGGGGGCACGAGGGAGGTGGAGCTGGGCCCGGGCAGGGAGTGCTTGGTGGTGCCGCGCGGCGTGTGGCACCGCTTCGTGACGCTGGAGCCAGGCACTGCGGCGTTCATCACCGCGGGAGAGGGCACGCAGCACAGGCGGATTGAGGGGTGAGCGGCGGGCGTCGCCAGGAGTGTGGTGGGCCAAGGAAAAGGGAGCCGTCTGGAAAAGTTTTCAAACGGGATTCTGTGCCAGCAACAAGACGATCACGGACGCTTGCCCTTGGGGGCAGTAACAGGGGTTCCCGGAGAGGTGGTGTCGTTCTTCCACGACGCGAGCTGCCTGGTGGAGCAGATTGTCCCGGCGTCGGCGCGACTTGGGCGCTATGGGAAAGTCGACAAGTTGGCCACGATAGAGCATGCTGAGAAGCGCAGCTCTGCGCTCGCTGAGAAGTGGGCTGGGGAGTGGGCGGCGGTGCGGCTGGAGGGTCTGGGACCTGGCAATGCAGGTAGCGCTTTGGGGGGAGTGGCGCGTGTTTCTCTGCGGGCCGACGACCCACTTGACAATACTCACACTCTTCTGTGGTGCACCGGCATTCAAATACAGTGCAAGGGAATGCTGCCAACAGGAATGCATGCCACGCTGTGTAATCAGCCTGCATCTATCCAATTACAGTTAATCAATTATCAACGGTTACACAATACGTTACATAACTTCTGTGAATCAGAGCTGTTGTGGACGAGCTGCCGAGACTCCGGAGGCGGAATCCGTGTGCGGCCGCCCGAACTGGGGAGGCAATAGTTCTGCCAGTGCTGAAAACGGGCGGAGGCCAGGCAGGTCTCCGGTATCTCTATATGCAACAGGCGGGCTTAGGGCCGAGCGGTGGGTGGCGTGAAACGTTTCACGCCACCCACCGCACCCACGTTAACGGTGTGCGCTGGCTGGGGTGGGCGGCTGCTCGCGGAGCATCGCACCGTATCTAGAACCGTATCTGATACCGCATCAGATGTTTGTGCCACATGGTCTGGTGTCGTACTTTTCACGACGTGTCTTCCAGGCCTGGTTGTGGCTCCCCGCAAACTCAATTCAATGAATTTGGCGACGCTGACACAATCGCACACAAACACCGATTTGAGCACCTTTTAGGGGTTTTGTTAAATTCCAAAGTGTTACGTCACATACTGGGGTGGTGGTGGGGTGGGTGGGGAGGTGGGGGTTGTCTGGGCGCTGCCGTCTGGGAGGTCCAGTTGTCAATGCCGGGATACCGTATTGGGGCTGGAACCATCTTCTTTTATAACCAGATTTTTTGCGCTTTACAAGACACACATGCCGAGACATTGTGTCAGCTGCATAAACAGTTGGGCATTTATATTATCGTGCTGAATCGGCGCTTCTGTGCATCGTTTGAGTGCCCCTGCGCATTTAGGCTATTTTGTACGTCCGAATACTCACCTGGAGCTAGGCAACGCGCATCGGATCAGTGCATAGCCAGGGATGGAGATGGTCGTTCTGTGTGCATTGCCTACACCAATTGTGTATTTCTTGTGCGGGGCTCCATGTGATCCGTAGGCGACCAATGAACTGCAATATGTGAACAAGATTCGGCGCCGCCCCAGTCCGCCACACGAAATTCCGCAACATTCAATAATGGATGCGTTCAAGGAATTTGCAACCGACGCGAGCCTCGTGAAATACGTCCAAGCGCATGGCCTGTTGCCTCCCTGAAAAAGCACCCTGTAGGTTCAGACGATTGTGGTGGCGGTGAAATACCGCAGAGCGCAATCCGCCTTGTGACAATTGGAGGCGGAGGCAGGCCTAATGCATTTCGGTTCATGACATTGTGCAATGAAGAGTGGAATGTTTTGCTGACAGTAATGTGTGAATCGCTACATTACGTTGTCATTGAGCCAACATTTTCCTTGAAGCCGATCCAGAAAACACGGGGTCCTGTTTCTCCGCAAATATGCAGTGCCAGATAGTCGCTTGCGCAGGGAAAGTATGCCAGCAAGAAAAGCCGAGTCGGCAGTCTCCATTTACCGTTGTATGTTGTACCCTTCCGCATTGTAACGTTTGGGCTTTGCATGCGGAACAATAGCAACACCATAGCAGTCCCAACAAAATGTGGAGCAGCCCCACTCGCGACGGGAGGGTCTCTGGAGTGCCCGAGGCGTCTGGCGGCTCTGAATGCGTGAGTCGCCTTGGCGGAAAACTGGCACTTGACGCCATGGGAACGGGGCGGAGTCGTCATTATGGCTGTGGCTATGATGCGGCAAGCCCCGAAATGACGGTCCGTCAAAAAAGCGTGGAGCAAAAGTTGTAACACTGAAATTTCAAAATGCAGAAGTGTCGAGTACACTACGGTATATCACGATATCGGTCTGCATTGACAATGTGGCCACCTACCGTGACCGCGCTATCAACAGGTGGCCACTGTGGTGCTGCAATGCTGAAGAATATTAATCAGTTTATCCTGGACGTACATTCATTCCAGCGGCAGACAATTCGCCAAGCAATGGACGAATCCAGAAATCTCCGCTTCGAGGCACAAAATTCTCATTGCCACCGCCTCCATTGGACAAAATGGGGAGCATACGGCCGCCATCCTGGTTGAGAAGCAAAATTTTTGGATTACTCCTCCAATTGACCCAAAACAGTGAAATCGAAGAAATCAACTCCCTCCTTATCTTGTTCTACAAATTTTGTTTTAATGACCACAGAAATGGAGCTATCGCAGCCCCAAAACCTATTCACCAAGACAAGCGCGCTGTATGCGCAAACTCATTCCCCGCTGACTGGCGTCCAGATCTGCCTTTCCCGTCCATCCTCCACACAGGCGGCGCCAACCTGCACCAGGTCGCCAAAAACCCAACAGCACACCCGCTCGCCTCCGCTTGTCATCAGCCATGTCGGAGCGCAAGGCGGTCATCAAGAACGCCGACATGTCGGAGGATATGCAGGTTGAGGCTGTTGACTGCGCAACTCAGGTAGGCACTGACCCCGGCAGACCCACCGCTGTGCGTTGGCGCCGAAATCGACAGCGCTGTCCGAACGCCTTTTCGCAGGCGGTTCTCAGCTTTTCAGCACGTTCGCAAAGGCCTGTTCTTCTTGGGGACGCGCTGTTTGAGAACGTTCCCGGCGGTTTGGTCCAGAGGGCCCGCGCCCCGCAAGAGAGGCGAGCGGGAGGTTGCCGCAACAATAATGTTCTTTAATGGAGAATTTCCTCCGTGCGACTGTTGGTATTAAATTAGGAACGCACGGGTGCTTCTTTGCGTACATAAAATTCATGATTCAATTCACCGATAGCTATTTGCTTATGTAAAATTTTAATATCTCAGTGAACGGCGAGGGCGTTGCTGGCTTGTGGGCCGGGGGCGGGCAGCTGCAATTGACGGCACCGGGATTTTGGGTTTGTCGCAGGCCATTGAAAAATACAATATAGAGAAGGACATCGCGGCATTCATCAAGAAGGAATTCGACAAGAAGTTCAACCCCACGTGGCATTGCGTGGTGGGAAGGAACTTCGGTGAGTGGCGAGGAAATGGGTGTGGCTTCCCGGATCCAACAAACACACACCAGTTATAGGCAGTTGACTGTGATATCAGCGAGTTGAGGATGCGGTGGGGGCACCGAAGCACCAATTCACGACACACCGGGCTCCCACCTGACAATATTTGTTGCGTCCCCGCCCCATTTCGAAAGTGTTACGGATCAAAGCCAAATGATTTTCAGACGTGAAAAAATAGGCATGCATCATGTTGTCCAAGTTGTGCCCGCGGACAACCAACCGTCGATGCAATGTGTCGAAGTACAATGCATCTGCCTTGCCTATGCTTAAGCAGTCGCCCCTTTGCCGTTCACCTGACGTAGCAATACACCTGCTATGAGACGTGGGCCAAACGTTGCGCCATGCGCGTTTGGGATCGGCAAGCCGCATTGCCAGCTACCACACGAGTCTGACCGACACTCCCATCTTGTGCAGGCTCTTATGTGACGCACGAAACCAAGCACTTCATTTATTTCTATTTGGGTAAGTGCTGGCGGCGAGAGATTAAGTGCACCTCAGCAGACTATGCACGGAGAGTAGTAAATTTGTGTCCCGATGCTGCCAGGACTACACACAATATTGCTTCTTTGGTCCACCTGCGGTATAATGCAATTCCAGTGAAGTCTCACACAACATGCAACTCAGCCGGAAGTGGAGCTCAAATGCTGTGCTCAGGGCGAAAGAAGAGAGGCAGAAATGTGGTACCAGGACGCCCCATGAAAGAAAACACTAATCTATCCTTGAACATCAGAACACGCCACAACATACGCTATCATTTCGACTTGAAATGATTTGATACATTGGTTAGTTACACGAGTTGAAATCATGGAACGAGCCAATGTAGAATCTACGCAGGCTCAAGGCCGCCACTTCCCCAGTGCCTGCCGGCCCTGAAATTCGCTGATGAGGCAGTTGTGTGCGCTGCAGGCCAAGTTGCCGTCCTTCTGTTCAAGTCCGGCTAATGCGTCCGGCGAACATTGAGAGCTGGCGGCCCAGTTAAGCGGGCGTTCCGTTCGTTGATGCACCTCTACTGGGGGCTAAAATGGAAAATGCTGGGCGTCTTGGCAAGGAATATGGCCTTGAATAGAGGCCCGGCAAGTCCTGAATCTTGCAATGAGAGGAAAGGGATACGAGAGGGGATTGGGCGCACCAGTCCAAACAATCGGAGTCTGGGTAGAAGACAATGGGAGCGTTTGTCCTGATACTAAAAGGGAATTTGATTCATGACAGCACTGATTTTAGTCATTTCAGTCATTTAGTAGCGTGTGGCCTGCGGGAGCGTCACGTTTCACGAGTGTTTGAGACACCATCATAGGACGTGCAAGGCTGTGTGCGAGCGTCCACTGATCTTTCAAATGCGCTGTAGTGTCGTTTTAAATAGCTCACACTGTGAAACCCTAAGAGGGCAATGTTCAACGCTACTTCACTGTCTGTCGGGCACCAAGTTTCAACAATTTCTCGACAACTTGGATCCATCCAATCAAAGTTCCCATTTTTCAAGCTGTTGTCAATGGGCCACATCAGTAAGGTGTATTCACTACAGCGACAGCTCTCCCTGCCATGTTGAGCCTCAGTGTCGCCAATATCGTGAAAACCGGAGGGGAACGCATGGCAGACAAGATTTTTTATGTTCCCAAATTCTCCATTGTCTGTATTTTATACCAAAACTTAGAACACAGTGAGTGCATTCTTGCTTTTCAACCTGATTTTGTGGTTATCTCCAATTTTGTGCGATTGATGCATTCGGTTTTCTTCCTGTTATCTTGTGTATATGATCCCCTTGTTGCACCACTGCGTTCACATGGCTGGCTATGCTGCAAGCATTGTATTAATCAGCATCATATTGTATATCAGCATCATATTGACATCACATGATGGAAACTGATAATTGACATGTCCCCGGTTTAATGACAGCCTAAGCTTTCAAATCCACTTTGGCATCTGGATATGCAGGTACCGAAGTTTTAAATTAAGACTTGCTTCAATGTAGAAGATTAATCTTCCATGCTTCATGGTCCATTTTTCGATGCCGTGAACCGAATGTTACATGTTTCATAAATTAGCGGCTATTATTGCGTCTCACGCACTGGAAATTGAAGTAAATATTGCCAGTGCATATAAATATGCGGTTTCGTATGTGTGTGCAATGTTCGCGCCACGTCTTTTTAGGCGGTCAATAACTCGCTTGTTAAGAGGACCACGGCCTCGCTCACGAGTTCCTGTGGCGCTAATTGGGGTTTGCATGAAAGCAATCAGAAGCCAGCAATGGCGCGTGTTGTCAAACGCTATTTCTCCGTGTAGGGCAAAAAGCTCCATAAATTTATGTACGTGGCTCAATTTTGCTCGGAATGGATGATATATCATTTCCTGCTTGTAGCCGGACGGCTGGGAGTGTCGAGAGAGACTCCACTGGGAATGCTTCATTTCATGGCTTGCAGCTCTCGGCTTCTTGAACTGCGCAACGCACGGCCACATGATCGACGTGGCCTGCGAAGCCGCGCAATCTTTTGCTTATTGCATCGCATTGTTTTGCGCCATTGGATTGCAATAGAGCACTGCGCTCGCAGCTCCCGAAGAAGCGCGGAAAGCTCCGCAACATGCAAGCAACTCGATGCATTGAAACATCGACGCGGTTTCCGAATCTATTTCCGCGCTGTGGGGCTGTTGCATGTGCAGCCATTCCACACAGACACCGCACCTGGTGTGGTGGTCTGGAGCGTTCTCGCAGTGCTTTAAGGGGCGACATCAACTTTGTCCCAAGCGTATGAGGGCACGATGCATGAGCCACATGCCTCATGAACCGCGCGGGTCGCAATGATTCTTGTGAAGTTCGACCTCGTTTAAATGATTCTCGCACATCATACTTCCTCTGAGCCATACTAATTGTCCTCTGAAATTGGGGACTTGCTTCTCCCTCATGTAAATTGCCCGTTTTTAATGAAAGTTTGTCCAAAGTTGCGACTATCAGTTGGAGTACGCTGTGAAAATGTCAAGTCAATCTTCTAATTATTGTAGATTTGGCAGAACTTTGCATCAGTGTCCTTTACGCAGCAACATCAATTTCAGTTTCAAAACAAAACAAATTTCGCTCAACGCTCAAAGACGTCGAGGCTGACATTTTCTTGAAAATTGACATTTAAATGTTTGGAGCCCAGCCCTTCGCATTGTGTCACCCTGCTACAGCAAAGGGACACTTTGGTAACGAAAATAATATTCCAAATAAGTAAATTTCATATGGTACAGGTAAATTATATGAAAATATTGTATGTACCGAACTCGCAAGTACAAATGCAGCGAATGCACGAATGAAGAACAAGCCATGCATTTCCATCGAAATGGTGGGCATTCAACATATATCTCAATAGTTAAGCGCTTCTGTGCTGCGAAAATGGAATAATTAACACGTAGTTGTCAAAGTTTCGTTACCAGATATAATGCGCTCATTTTGATGTGCATGTCAAGGATACGGCAATATCCAGAGACGCGCATATGTGGATACTTCGTATATACGGAGATCCCATGTCCTGGATTTGCAATTTTTGTATCCATTGAGCCCGCGTATAATGGCCACCCGTTACTGGAATCCAGTGAACTGGAAATGATATGCTTTCTACAAGTAGTAATTTTCTCTGGCCGAAAAGAGCCGGTGGCCCCGCAGTGATTTCCAGGGGCTCATCCCGCGTGAAATTGCTTGAAAATTACACATCAACCCAAATTCTCGAAAATCGACCGATGGTGATATGCAGTAATTTTTCTCCATCTCCTGTAATATTTCATGGATCGAGATTACATTTTAATGACTGATGCGATAATTCCAACATAAGTGTCGAACATCTGGTCCCACATCAAGAATCGGATAAACTTAGATACAAACAACAGTACAAAGTAAGTTAAGGAAATAGCTGACAGCTCATATTCTGAGCGAGATAACGACTACCAATAACATTCAACTAAATCCAAGTACTGTGACAGTAAAACCCAGGATCCACAATGTTTTGATTTCCAACGATTCTCTGTTGGTTGCCGTGCATCTTAATTGACATGTATCACTTATTATTAGAGTCCTCTTAAATTAACGAGCGGAGTAATCATTGACCTGTAGTTTATTGAAAAGGGCACGATTCGCGCCGCCCTGGACGTGTATAAACTACATATGTAAGGCACGTAGCTTCCTGCGCACGGCAGTGAAGGAGGCAGTGTAGCTCATGTTCAGAAACAGAGCATATCCAAGAGGCTTGGAACCGCGACGGATCATTGATAATATATCATTTGTGCAGCTTGAGGGCTCTACAATCTGGAGTCCAAATAACATGCAGTCGACATGCCAATATTCAAAATATACCTTCCGCAGGTGATGTACTGAGAGGAGATTACTTAGGGCTTGGACAACTTTTGCTCGAGTGTTGCCACGCGGTTGCATTGGAAATTGTGCTGTTCGGCGGAGCGTGGTGTGGTGATGGGAGGGACTGCCAGAAGCTTGGAATTTCAATGCACAGCCCAGGGTGCCTGACTTAGAGTAGAGCGCAGGCGCCAAATCTTAAAAGTTGACCAGTGGCCATGAAGATAAGGTACTCCAGAGACCGATAGGAGGAAAATAGATGGATAGTATGTGAATAACAAGGAATCAACATAAAATTCTATCACGATTCAACCAAGGGCTGTTCACTGGAATGCTGAAACAACTATCAGTGTTCGCGCAACAGAAACATCCTAAATTTGGAATTTTGGAATTACTTCTGTACTAAAATATAGCTGCTTCGGCTGCTCATTACCAAATAATGATATGGTCCTCATGCTTGCGCACATCTGTGAACCTGACTATTTTCCAGATGCATTTAATATACATATAGATATTTTCCTTACAGGCTGATGCGCACTCTCGTTTGAAAGATGCAAGAATTATGACATGGTGTTGAATTGTGTTTCGTTTGGCGAAGCCAGAGGGCACACGGTTGGTGGCAGATTTTTTTCGTCTTATAATCCATGATGTATACGTACCATGGACTCAGTAAAACATGACAATTAGATGATGGCTACA